TTATTCATTTAAAAACATTATTAAAAACAAGCCCATCAGGAGTATGGCTTTTTCGAAGCCAATATTTCGCCTATCCTTTCTATACTTCTTTAAAGTCTTCTGGAAGAAACTGAAGTATTTTCACAACATCCTCACCATATTCACAATAATGTTTCTTTTCTACTTTAATCGTTTGAATTTGCAAAGAACATTTTATATACGAGGTGCATTGAAAAAAAATTCGAAAACGATTCTCGAATTTTTTTTGTTTTGCTATGTTGGTACACACATGTCCCAAACATATGACAGCATTATCAGCAATTTTGCATTTTTAATTTCTTTTTGACTGATATAAAAGTTAGACGTGTTTTGGTGTGATTGGGGATTTTTTGCTAACAGAGAAAATTGATCAAAAAATCTGTATTAAATTTTATGTGAAAAATAAAACTAAATGCTCTAACTTAGTTAAAACATTGGCTGCGACATTTACTGAATCTACTTTGAGTAAACGAGATGACTATAAGTGATACGAAGAACTCTTCACAGAAATTGACTAATCATATGTTTTTGCTTGTATACACATACAAATAAAATAAAAGAAAAAAAAATCATAAGAAGAAATGATGCCCGTTTCTTTTAAATTCTGTTTTGTACCATGCATTGCTTTGTAGGAAATGAAAAATAAGCAAGAAAGACCGTTTATTTTAAAGGTGGAATACGTTCACCAAATTTCTTTATTAGAGAGTGATAAACGCTAATTTCCAAATTATATATCACTTAACCCAAAACGGCTGTCGATGGTGTCATAAAATTTAACCAAATTATGAAGATTAAGAAAATTATTGTTTTTTATTAATTTTTTATATATGTTTACGATTGATTTCCTTATTCTTAATTCTGATATCATATATGCTTGTTTACACTTTCTCCTAAAGCAATATGATAGCGTGACTGCCCATTATACTTGCCACTTGGAAGTTTTTTTTTACTCGCAACCAAATATGACGCCCCATTGTGTCAAAACCCTTAATAAAAATGCCCGCCACGGACGTACCAACACGTCTACTATCAATGAAAACGTTGGGACAGTGAAACAATTTGAAGTTTGTTAAGTGTTATGAACAATTGGCACATCAATTGGCTCATGCTGTGCAATTTTTTGGGATATTTTGTTCATGAATATTCCACGACGAGAACCTACCAGCTCACGCGTCATTGCTTGTTCGTAATTTTTTGGCCAATAACAACATCGTATGAAAAAACAAGTAAAAACATTATAGTCGGGGGACGCCAACCATTACATACCCTACACCGCTTCGCCTAGTACAGTTATTTACTCGATTTGGTAATCATACATCAAAAAGTACGGATCATTTTCATTACATTGGATGGCTTGACTCGTTTTTCACATTTTTTTACAATATATTTTTCATCGTGTATCTATTGTAATTTATGAATAATGAGCCAAAAACCACAGAAAACAAAGGTGCTCTCAGTTTACGTTATATTGTCGACGCCGTATTGGGTCGTTCGATCGACTCGATCGATTTTTATAATCAATCTGCGTGCAAAAACTTTCTAAGGGCATTCCTTCGTTTTCACAAAGTAGAGAATGTTTACTACGGGGATTATTCGGACTTCCCGTTCGCAAACATGAAGATATAGGCTACAAATTTGGTATACACATTGAATATCATTGGACGAAGATTAGTGTCGAAAATAAGCGAACTGGGTCAAAGGGTCCACCTACAGTGCAACATAAACTGATGTTGTCTCTGTGTTCAATAGCAAAAAAAATTATTTTTTTCTTCATTATTCATAAAGTACGATAACAAGATTTGATGTGTTTTACTGTAAGATAAAAGTAGCAAGTACAGAAGATTCGGCCGCAGACGAGTATGCCAGAAAATGTTTACAAAAGCTTTGAATCATGAAGTAACGAAGACGTCTACTTCAATTAAATGTTAAACTTGCAGAAAACAAACGAAAAAAGAAAACAAACCTTTGCAATAAATCGATGAGCAAAAAAGGGCACATGTATAAAAAGAAAATCATCAAACGTGAACGAAAGACCGTATGCGGCAAATAAACGAGCCCCACTTTAATACGACGACTCCCTATCGTTTTCCCTTTCTTCATTTCTTTCTGATCATGACCGTGTCACACGAATTAGGGACATCCCCTGATTTATTGATCGTACTAGAAAAAAACAAAAAAAGGTCACCAACAAAAAGTGTACAACACTATATTATATCACCAACTTGGAAAGATTGATAAAAAACTTCAGTTATTATTTCACTATTGGAGTGGGCCTTGGGGAAGAACAGAAACTCCTACGCCACTAGATATTAATGAATAGGACAGAACTATATCAAAGAAACATAAAACCGTGCATAGGCAAGCAATAGTAAGAGGGCTGAGAATTGTACAGGTGTAGTAGGTTTTATGAACACTAATTGGAAAGATGAACGTTATAAGGCAATACCAATGGATTTTAATGTCACATTTGCCCAAGTGACGACAATTATATCGACTCGATTGCTGGTGACAACAGCAACTAAATTTTAGCTAAATTTATGTGGAAATGCCGAGAGAGGAGACGAAAAGATATGAATAATGAAAAGAAAGATATTTCAGAAGATCAGATAGATATCTTTGACGAACAAAAGCAAACAGTATAAGAAATTGGAGAGAAAGACTCTGCGAAAATTGCGGAAATAATTAAGTTGACTTAGCATGAGAACGCAGTAAGTCATGCTGAGCAGTTAAGACGTGGAAAACAATTTAATCGTGAAGAAGATGAAAATTCGCATACGGTCGTCCGTTTCTGGCAAAAACAATCCAGGAAGTGATCTTCAACTTAAACTGAGAACATTTGCCGATTAGGTCTTATTCTCTAGACCTGACTCTTTCTAGTTACCACTAGTTCAGATCGCTGCAATCATATTTCGCACATCGGCGGTTCCAGAAAGGCGAAGTTCTACAGAAATGAGTCGACAGCCATTTCGCCTTTAAAATAAGATGTTTGTACCGCAAGACAATTCGTAATCTAACTAATAAGATGCAAAAGACCTTATATAGCGATAACGCTTTAAACATTGTAAGAAGCATTTTTTAATTACATTTGAATTTTATCAAAAAGTTTACAGAATTTATTTGCACACCTATTATATACACATAGCCCTCAAGGTCTTTAATACCATATACTCTAAAAATTAGTCTTGCTACACGATGTATATATATGTATGTATATATATATATACATAATAGTAATAGTAACATAGAACTAATAAAGGACCTTTCACTGCCAAGCATCGCTGCAACTACGATCTTCATAACAGCTCCTATATTTATCCATCTTTCAATTAAATGACTTGAGAAAAGTGAATAGAACATGTCCATGCACCGAATTTCACAGCTTGTTATGAACTCAATAACGTAATTCGTGATATCATTATAGGATTGTATTATTGGAAAAGCAAGCTTGCTTTTGTGGAAAGCATATTTTGTATAAAAATCAACCTTGAAAATGGCAAAACTTATACAAAGCCTTAAATATATAAAATTTTGCAACTTGATGTTCATAAAATGTATTATATAACATGTACATCAAATCTAATGTAGGCCGATATATATATATATATATATATATATATATACATATTATTTATTTAAAGAAAATCCACAATTTTTACAAAAGATGGGGTTGTTGATACGTATTTTTAGATAGCGTGACAAGTATTCCCCCTGCTTCGATTGTGGATAAAAGAAAGATGATATGGATAATACGGTTGAAGAAAGAAGTCTAAAAAGTTTCGCAAGTACATACGCTTATCTAATTTACAATGAAACATTTTTCTAACGGTGTACTTCACTATATCTGTATATATAATATATATATATATATACATATACATATATATATATATATATATATATATATATATATATATATATATATATATATATATATATATATATATATATATACGTGTGTGTGTGTGTGTGTGTATTTCATCGTTAAATCAGCAGATTTATAAATTATGATTACTAATATAAACTCTTCGAATTCCTTCTTTTGCCTCTGTCATTCAATAGCATATTTCTGTTTTCCGCTTTTACTTTCCCATCTTTTCGTATGCTCTTTTCATACCACACTCCATTCATTCATATTTTCCTTTTGCAATTATTAATTATTTATTAATATTTATAATACGAACGTGTTTTGTGTATAAACTTAAAGTATTAAATATTAATTTGTATTTGTGTACTTTTGCGTGTGTGTGTGTGTGTGTGTGTGTGTGTGTGTGTGTGTGTGTGTGTGTGTGCGTGCATGTTTTTATGCATGCATGTGTTTTTGTGCCTGGCTATGCGTCCATCTCTCTCAGTCTCTCTTCCCTTTCTCTATCGTTCTCTCTCACTCTCTCTCTCTCTCTTTCTCTGTGTATATGTGTTGTCGTTTCTTTCTTTGTGTATGTGAATATATGCATGGGGCTTATAACAGTAGTTTTAAAAGGAAGAGGATTAGAAAAAAGTATACGTAGATATTGCCAAAAAATTTGATCAAAGAAAAAAATTTTAAAAAAAGAAATAAAATAAAAAATTGAAAAAGAAATTTAAATCGTTTTGCGTATATTTATCGCATGTAAAATATTTTCTTGACTGCATCTCTACTCGTTATTTATGCTTTTTTTAATGTTATTGTTATTTGTTACTTTCTATACTCTATATACGTCCATATTGTTAAATAATATATATATATAATTGTATAAATATATATATATATATACATATATATATATATATAGATATACATATATATATATAAATATACATTTATATATATATAAATATACATATATATATATATATATATAAATATACATATATATATATATATATATAAATATATATAAATATATATATATATAAATATATATAAATATACATATATATATATAGATACCGATTATATGTATGTATATATGTATATAATCTTCTATTTATTAATAATAATGATTTTTTATCTTGTATACTGATGTATATATAATTTATACGCTTACATAAGTTATAAGAAGAGAAAACATTTGAAAAAACGTTCCGATAAGAGAAAATGACATGAAAATATACAAAAAATATTATATAATTAGAATGATAAGAATTAGAATAGACACAATTTCATTGCAGTTCCTGTCTTACGTTGCGACCTCGTCTCCGTCTTTGAGCCGAGTAAGAATCCTCGTCCTACAAGACATAATTGAATTGAATTGAATCCTGCTCGTTGCAGTTACCTCCTCCGCCACCACCTCGGTTCGATGAACCGGATGATTTGTTTGATCCATGATGTCCAATAGTCATTTGATTGGTTTGATGTATAACTGAGGTTATGTCGCTTTGTGAAGCCGAAATGTCCTTGGAAGTTAATACATCTGAACTGCTAGAACCGGAGGAAAGACCGTGACGTTCAGTAATGCCATACTGTATGGGCTGATAGCCATGGCTGGGATTATAAGTGGCTGAGTATGGCATATAAATCGGAGGATTCGGTAATGGACCAATGTCACTAGTAATGCTCTCAGTGTCCGCATGGCTTAAATTGGATCGACATTGTAAAGGATTACGATCATCGTTTACCACATAATAGCACTGTTCTGAAAATGTCAGCTTGTTGACTGTGTGCTTAATATAATTGTTACGTAACATGGCGGAAACAATGCGCCGTGCTTCACGGCGATCCTGAACATCTTCAACATTTTCTAGCACCCAGTTAACGGCATCGGCACCAATAAATGCGTTTGGTATAGTAATTTTCAGCCACATTCGATCACGTATCTCCAAACCACTATCTGGTTTGATCATCGCTTTAACGATTTCTTCCAGATTATTTTGATCTAAACGCTCTTTAATCGGTTCCGGTATATCAGGATGAATAATACTGTCATGCGAGGTAAGAGCCTGGGTATGAGCAACCCAAGCTCCAGGATCAATAGGCCGCACTGGTTCTGTGCGCGGTATGGTAAAATAACCTTTTGGATTGGGATCCCAACACTTGGCTACCACCAGCTTAATTGGACCTGGCTTTTGAACGACTTCTCTTAACACACGTACAGCTTCATCGTTTGTCATATTTTCAAAATTCACATCATTCACCTGCAAAATCATGTCACCAGGCTCTATTCGGCCATCTAAGGCCACAGCACCGCCCTTCATAATACTACCTACATAAATGCCTCCATCGCCACCACGATTCGACTGACCCACAATTGATATGCCAAGAAAATTTACCGCTTCCATATTAATGTTAACAGTAATAATATTTAAAGACATAGTGGAATCGGTGATTGATGAATAACTCGAAGTGCGCGACATACTAGGAGCACGTTTCTTGCGCCTTTGAGGTTTTTTACGAACCTGTAATCTTTGAACACTACTGTAGTCAGTCAGATCACGATCAAGCGTAATCTCCGATTCTGTACCGAACAAACTGGTCGAATCCAAGTCACTAGATAGTACTGAAGCCGACTGATATGTAAGTGGAGGTGGCGGTTGCATCATAGGATTTGAAATGACGCCACCAGTGCCCATGCTCACCATTCCTCCAACCATTTTCTGTTGCTGCTGTAAGGGCTGAGGTAGACGACCAGCCGGACGTGTATCGCCGCACTCGCTGGTGGGTACTTCAGAACAGTTGTCCGATTGATTTGTACCGTCTGCTGACACAAGCCATGACACCACTCTGCCGTTAAAACAAGGCAAAATGGTCGAGTCTTCGGCTATCTCTTCCTTAACTACACCGAAGTCCGCGTCCATTGATTTGAAAAAATATTTATAGTTATTATTTTGTTTATTGAGCACCATTTTAAAGTCTCTCAGAGTTACTTGCGATGAGGATATTGGAATTTTAACCAAATAAGGGGTGGTCTCATCATCTATGTGATATATTACTTTTGTCTCTTGGCCACCTCCACCACCGCCACTATTCTTATCTGCATCCATCTTTGATTTGTATATTTGTTTGTATGCGTTCGTGTAAATGTGTATATATGCGAAATTGTGTACTTCGCTTTTTTTCAATAGATAACTTTTCTTTTATTCGATTAAAATTCACTTAGACTTCGGTTCATTATTTTAAATAACTTCTTTTCCTTTTTTTTTTTTTTTTAAACACTCCCGTTGGCGTTCTTTTTTCTTTTTGTTTTTTATATACTAAGTTTACAACGAAGTTTCAAGAAAAAATCGGCGTTACTTTGTATATTGTTTTTGCTTTAGGGTTGGGTTTCACGGGACTCCTTCCTATCTACTCTATGCTGTTCTACTCATTCACCAAAGGCGTTGTTGCTGCGCTGTATCTGTATCTAAGACATCTTTTCTTTAAACTGTTGTCTAACAAAATTTTTACTTTTTACTTCAATTTCTTATTTTAACACCTTTCACACTTTGTACTTATGAATTAAATCTAAATATTCCGGAATTTGATAATTGTTTACAATTACAAATTATCATTTAATTACTGCAAAAATGCGCAGACAATGAAAAGAGTTGCAAAACTATTTGACATTCCGAAAACTTATGTTCCACACATATATAAATTCATTCTTATATATATATACATATATGTATATATATATATATATATATATATGTATATATATATATATATATATATATATATATATAGATGAATACATGTAAATAAATATATGTATTATATGTATGGGTAGATGTTTGCGCAGCAAATGCATGAATATGTGATTATCTAAGAATTTGTAACTTTAGGTAGAACAGTGCTGCCAAACGCTGTTTTGTCCTATTTGGGGCTAATAACGAAATTCTATGATTAAAAATTAATCAAGTACATAATTAGAAGAAAGTCTCTTCATTCACAAATTTCTGTTATCAAAACCTTACGAAAATTTTGTTCTCAAAATTTAAATGAATGACTAACTTGAATTTGCAATTTGACGGCACGGAACAATAACCGTTACCGCTAGGATTTAGCTTTAAAGGCTTGGAAAAAATTCATCATTCATTAATAAAACACTTAATAACTTTCATTAACTTTAACATTGCACGACCTATAGTATTATTAAAAAAAGAAATTTTAGCTGACTAAGAACTAAGAACCCTCACCTAAAATTTAATTTATTTTCCAGGAACCATGATAGATAAATCTACTTTTTGTTTTGTCGTAGTACTCTGCTATTCAGCTATTCATTTGTAAATAGGGTCGTTTTGGAACAGTAAAACTATTGTAATCGTAGTAAACGTACAATTGAAATCCACGAATTTATTCGAATGGTTATAGGAGCGAAAATGACCCACACGGAAAAAATGCATTTCATTCGTCAGCCTAGATAGAAAAAATGTAATTACGTCTTGTATTTCTGTCTGGAATATTGGAATCTCAAACCTTTGTCCAAAAAAAGAGACTTACGAACAAACCCACACATCTTTTTACGGATTTTTTAGCACGTCTACGCAACCGTGCAAAAGAAAACTTTAGTTCTAATTTCATTTTCCCGAATACGATCGATTACATCGATTCTGCTTTCATAGGGATTAAACAGTCTCTGAGGAGCGTATCTGTCTATGTTTGGCAAATGTTCCGAAGATATAATGTAGCTTATTTTAAACGCTTTTCATAAATAAAAAAAACTCGCGATTACTTTTTATTGATGAAAAATAAAAATAGGCCTTACAAAAAGTGACATGCGATCCAATAGTCATGAGCAATAGGCAATCTCTAATTACTGTTTAGTCTTGGCATTACTTTATAAGTTATCTTCTAATATATTAGGATTTGACAGCTGAGATTCTTTTGCTTGGGATAGCTGTACGCTTTCCATATAAATGACAGCACTGCAGTACAAGAAAAAAGACATATTATTTCCAAATACAAAAGTGAAACGGTGGAAATCTATGCGAAAAAACATAAATAAGTTTCGGTTTTCATTATATTGTTTATTTTAAGAAAATGTTTATGAATAGATTCGCCAGAACGTCTAATCTTGTAACGCGACATTTGTTAAGTGAGTATGGGAAAAAAACATTTATTGCAAAAAAGAGTCGGAATTAAAGTACAAAGTTCACAATTTTCGTCCGGCTTTCAGTATTCCGTAATGTATAGATTTCGCAATTCCTCGAATTATTTTCATTTTAGCTATGCCAAATTCACGTTTAATGAGTTCTAAGATGTTAATTGAACATAATGATCCTTGCACTAATTACGAGACTTTAGCTGTTAGTTCACCAAAACCTTTTGTTTTCCAAGTTGAATTGAATAGGCCGCAACGTTACAATGCTATCAACAAGCAAATGTGGATGTAAGCATTCAATGAATTTTATACACCGGAATATATGAGAAAAATTTGCTTTATTTTTAGGGAAATAAAAAGTTGTTTTGAAAGTTTGAGCACAAATTCAGATTGTCGTGTTATAATTTTAAAAGCCGCTGGTAAACATTTTACAGCAGGCATTGATTTAACCGATATGATGCAGTTGGGTCAAGAACTCAGTGAAATAGATGATGTGGCTCGTAAAGGAATTTATTTAGACCGCCTAATTAAGCTCTATCAGGATTCGTTGAGTTCGCTCGAAAATTGCACCAAACCTGTCATCAGTGCAGTACATTCTGCTTGCGTGGGCGCTGGTATTGATATGATAACAGCGTCGGATATACGCTACTGCTCAGAAGATGCATTCTTTTCGGTGAAAGAGGTTGACGTTGGCATGGCTGCTGATGTTGGTACCTTACAACGTTTGCCAAAAGCTATCGGTAGCCAGTCGTTAGTACGTGAGCTATGTTATACTGGGAGAAATTTTTCAAGCTCGGAAGCTTATAACTGTGGTTTAATTAGCAAAGTCTTTCCTAATAGAAATGATTTGCTTATAGGTGCTTTGGAATTAGCAGATAGCATTGCCCAGAAAAGTCCTGTAGCGGTACAAGCAACAAAACAGAATTTAGTGTATTCGTTAAGCCGCACCAATCAAGAGGGTTTGGATCATATCGTAAGTCTAATATAATCTGTGAACGCTAACTTAGCCAAAACTATAATTATGTGCTATTTTCTCTTTTTAAAGCGAGAAATGAACAAACTTTATTTGCAATCCGAAGATTTGGCCATTGGCGCAGCCGCCCAATTAACGAAAGGAGAAATGCCCGCATTTTCTAAGCTATAACTTAGCTAAGATCAAATTTTGATATTCTTCCTTTTTTTTTATAATAAATCATTTTGAAAAAATTTTGTTATATTTGTCATCAGTGCATCATTTGCGTAAGACGTTCCATATTAATTGCATAAACTGAATGAGACGCAATTACGTTATGATCTGTAAACGCTTTTTGGCAGTCCTTAAGGGTTATAACATTTTTCGTTCTCGGATATCTAGCAAGGAAAAAAACATTCAATTTTCATTTAAATGGATAATAAATAAAAACCGTTACATTTCCTCACATGCAGACAAAAAAACCGCATCATCGTTCGAACGGCGCATAAAATTTGGCGACGTAATTTCCTTGTCCAATTCTAAAGGGCTATCATCCACTTTTTGTCTAGTTACAGTATTTCTAACTGAAGGATCTTTCAATTGAGCTCCAACATCGTAATAGAACGAACCTTCGCCAGTTACTTTGTAATGCTGACGTTTCATAATAATAGTTGATATTAAATTTTTTAATAGCACTTGCACGGCGGCAGCTACATATTCAGCCACACTATCTTCCACATTTACCAAGCCGCTCTCCCATGCACCGATTAAGAAACGCCCAAGTATAAAACCAGCGTCTGGCAGAAACAACTCATGCACAGAGTAACGTTGCGTAGGTAAAATTTGGACATTTGCTTCGGTTCCGGATGCAGGACGTATGCATTTCATATTGTCTTCTACTATGAAATCCAAAAAATCATACGGTTCGAATGTAACTCGATCACTATAAGCACGAGAAGATCGCTTGCGTTTAGCTTTGCGATTACCGCTGCCGCTATTTGCCGCGCTATTACCATTGCCGCCTACAGTATGTGATATTGTATTCGTCGGAGAGGATTGTTGCTGTGGTATTTGGAATGCGTCAATCTTATTAAGAATGGCTAACAGGAACTGATTGTGTAAATGCACTTTGTCTGCTGTAAGAAATTTACGCGATTCATAATCAAATTCTTCTTTAGACCATTTGTGACGAAACCATAATTTCATATTAGCCGTATACTTGGAAGCATTTTCGCCTAAAGCGAGCATTAAAGCATTTTTCGTTATTAACACTTTCTCACTTAAGTCACTCATTTCTACAATTTACACCAACTAAATTTATATGCATGCACACATTTATATATATATATAAATATATTCCTAATTATGCGATATTTGTAATTTTTGCATTTTGCTTAAAAACACACACCTTTTCAGCTGTAATTTTTACTTGGCAACATATCTACAAAAAAAAAAAAATGTCAAGACGAGGGAGATGATTTAATGTTTTGAAGTGTGAATGTTAACATATCCTAGTGAATGGCAGAGGAAAGAAGATTTAAAACATTTATAAAAGTATACACAGAAGGGAGGATTTACCAAAAGAGTTTTGGAAATCATTTGTTATTCTGGTGGATATATAAGCTTGAGCCGTAGTCGAGAAACTGCAAGGTACATCTTTAAAGATATAATTGAAGCATTTACTTTATCGAAATATATATTTGGAATAATTGAAGAGCATGTATCCGAACAATCGAGGATCTTTACAACGCATAGTATTGGATGAGATTGCTTTGGAAGGCTTAGAAGGCATAACATTACCTTGTAAATAAAACTAAATTATTAAATATTTTTTCTGTTTGCTGATAATTGAAATATTTTAGCTTTATGGGTGTATATGGGCAAAGCTTTACAAATTGATTTACCGCTGCCATTGCATCTCCGAGATGAAATATGGCGATTCATACTAAGAGTTCATGAACATTTACAATTTTTTCAATTACCTCAGGATCGTGAAACCATTGAGTACTTCGATCGTTACCAAATAGTTGATTCCGATTTGGGGGTACCAATAACACCGGTAAGCATTTTCAAAAGCTATTGCGAAATATAGTTAATAAAATTAATATCTATTTTATATCTAACGTTATTGTCAGGAAAAATGCCCATTTACACGTTATAAGTGCGTGCCTATATCCGATGATTCTATATTGGGTTCATGTGAATTTTATAAGGAACGGAAGCTGGTACCATTTGAATTAGTAAAAGATTTAGACATTGAAACTGTGTTAAAAACGTAAGCTAAATTATTATTCAAATCGTATAATTTTATTTATACACTAATGGAAGATATGTCAAACTGCGATCACCGTTAAAAAGTTTAGAATAGATTTAATACTAACTCTTATTCCATAGCATCCATGAATTTCTTATCTATTGTTTTTGTCTGTTGTATAAAAGGACCTTGCATTAGTCTACATATTGTTACATCGGAAACTATTTTTAGAACGTTCTAAACAGGCCATTTACAACGATAGTGTTTGCCGGCAACACATCCTTTGGATCTACCACGAGTTGAACATTCTAATCAATTGGTGGAAAGAAGTTGCCTCATGCTAACGAAATTCTTTAGCAATCTAATCATGATCGATCAACTTGGCAATTTTGTTTTCGGCTGATGATTCCTACGTTTTAAGTTTAATCTTAATACACACACACACACACACACACACAAACACAAACACAAACACAAACATACGCGCACATAATATTTGATATCGTTTTAATGATCGCAGTGTCTTATACTCTTAGTACTATGATTTTTCCAACGAATACTTATATCTGCCATACCTCTGTCGTTCGCACATCTTGCATAATCGGATTCTTCCCCCCTTGCCAGGCGATGGTTTATTTTGAATAAAATAAGTATTTTGTTCAGATAGATATAAGCGATGTAAAGATCAAAGTAAAAAGAATGCTTATGTAGAATCTGGAAATCAATTTACATATCATATTTTTTTTAGGTTCGGTAAAACATTCATTATTGTTGCGAGCCAAGATTTACGTTATAACGCTTTAACACCAGAAAATATTCCGCGACCTAAAGATCTAACGCCTATACAATATTGCATTTGGGAGGCTATAGGTCGTTCACGTTTTAATGGCGAGACGACAGCTGGACCTTGGTCATTGCAGCATTTCTGCAAAGACGCCACAATTGTTTTCTACATAAAGTAAAGAAATTTTTTCTTAAAATTTTTCATAATTTCACAATTTCGTAAAAAAATTTTAGAAATAAGCTTATACGTCATGGTGTTATCAGCCATCATTTGTTTAATGAAAAACGTGGCGAGCGTTTAATTGTTGGTATTCTGTTAACTTTACCACGTTTTCACCCCACTAATCGTAGTACATTAATAGCTATGGTGGAGAAACTATACTCAATACTTAAAGAAAAACCTGATCAGAAAATGCCTTTAATGCAAATTCTTACCCACTTCCCGACCTTTGAGCGCTCAAAAACGCTACGAAAGGCAATGTTAACACATCTTTTTAGACAAATATTTGAAACGCAGGTAATATTAATTCAGCTAAGTCATAGAAAGCCCTGACCTTAATCTTATATTATGTTACAGTCTTTGCCCTATTTGGAAGTGTATAAAAATGCCAAATCAAAAAATGCAAACGCAAGTCCAAGCTCTAAAGGACGCACAGTAACTGTAGTGAGCTTAAGACATCCCGATCGTTCAATTGATGAATTATTTCATGGATTTGAAAATGAACATGGCAAAACCGATGTCGAAACTGCCGGTGAGTATATATAAGTAGCCAATGAAATGACTTTGGCTGGATTAAGGGATAAGTCACTATTTAATGGTTGCTTATATCATTTAATTGTGAGCTAAAAGTACAGTCTAACATTATTATTCTGAGGTGGTTGTTTAAAGATTTTTTTTACACTCAACGAAAAGGTGTCCTTGGGCTACAATTCATGTAATATATTTCATTATATAATTCCTTATGCATTATTGTAATCACTGCCGAAGGAGAGAGGTATATTCGCTTCAGTTACGATGTAATGTTCGTTGGAAGGGAATTGAAACCTTATGACGGCAATTAAGCAGTAAACCGTTTATTTTTTTTAACAAAATTGCATTCGATCTAAGACGTCTGATTAATGATTTGAGTAAATGAACAATTTTGCGTATGTGAAAACTTTCTGCCTCCGTTTATTGATTTACCGAAATTTTAGATACATGCAGCTACCAATTTTGATATACACACGTTATAAATTTCCCTATTTCGAAAGAAGTCTTCGTACGGATGATTTAAAAGCCCTATTAACATTTTTCTGCAGGGCTTTTGTTAAATATTTTTTGGTTTCCTTTCACTTTTAACACCGACATGTATGGGAACATTATGTGTTGTATATGTCGAATATTTCTTACAAGACATGCAAGTGTTCCCTTATCGGCATGATTATCACTGCCATAAATTTTGTTAAAAATTTGAAAACATTGCTCAATAATATGTCATTCCAATAATCCCAAAAGGTATAAAGGTATAAGGTTTGTTCCTGCATTCATTTTAATCTTTTTGGCATTTTAATCGTTTTGGTGGACACTGCTGGATTACTTGCAATACTTTAACAATGTATATGTATGTACAACTTTCGCTTAAATGACTGTTTATAGATTGCGACTTATTCTAAGCAATCGATCGCCAAAGAGATAATCACAGAAAAGTAGCATATACGAAAAATTAAGCCTAAATCGGAGAATAATATCCGGATATTGTAATATTGACTTAATTCTTTTACAATTTTTTTTGTTTAGATGAGGATTTTCACAATGAGAAGCATTCATTTATTGATATGACATTACGTGAGGAGTTTTACCAATGTGTGTCTCGTTTCGGTTCCCGCGGCTGTAGCCAAACCGAAATATATCGATATATGTCCACACATCATTTGACCTTACGTCAGTTAATAAAGCAAATGTTAGGCGAAGGTCTTATAAAATCGTATTTTACGGATGCTGGACGCCAAAGGCTTAATATGTAAGAGCGTAAAAATAAAAATAAAGGAAATATAGCATCCTCTGTAACATTTCGATACAATTTAATTTTAGGTATGTAGCTATTGAGCATGCAGATCCAGTTAAGAAAAAAGTTGCTACTTCGTTGGCTGCTCTTAAAAATTTACAATGTGCGGAAGAGCCTAACATACCAGAAGAAGGAGTCACTTTTAATGATATACCTCAGATAACGGCGCGTATTAAACCGTTCGAGTACAATGATTTTCAAATGCAAAGAGAAAATAATAGTCAAAAAGTTATAACGCGAAAAACTTACATAGTTAAGACTATAGATGAAAAATGTATAATGTCTGTAATGGAGTTATGCAAGGCGATTAAAATCATGGAAGCTAATCAGGGTCAACAGGGTGAAGTGTGCCGCAAATCAATACGGCGATTATTGTGTAGCATGACCCAACTGAAGATTGTACGGTTATATGAAATAGCCTTGCAGTGTGAAGAGCAAATTCGTTTATATCGTTTGGTTACCCATCCCAAGATAGACATTAATCACAAAGTTTTAAAAAATGAAATATTAAAGCTGAAGAACAGCTTTTTCCTATCAATAGAAGAGAGACGTTTGCGTCAATTGGCTTCCTTTAGATACCAAAATAAACGATTGAAATCGATGAAAAAACTGAAAGAAGCCAAAGCCAAGGAGATGATACCATTAAAGTCATATAAACATCCGAAATTTTTAGTTTCCCGTTATTTGCATGAATTCCTTTTTTATATTGTGGTGGAGTTAAGCGAATATCAGGCTACTTACGAAGTCAACGAAGAGTTGCTCATGTATTGGCAACAAAGCGAACCTTCACTTCAAGTAAACGATTACTTCAAAAATATTCAACCCGAACATGCCAAACTGAGGGCATACACAAAAGATATCAGTTGGCGTACATTTATTCAGCCACTGCCGAAATACTCGGATAAACCGGTGGGCTGGGTTTACTTTGTTGATGCGATTGATCGTATACCTTTGTCCATATTCAATAAAATATTCCGTTTAGACAGAGGCATTGATCAGCGGTTAGCTGACTATCTGGCCCATCCCGTGCGACAGTACTATCTGATGCGTCAATTGCCGGCCGATCTACAATGCAAAATCAGTCGCGTACAATTGCAGCGCGTTTATATATCGATTTTAAAACTCTTGAACCATATGGGTCTAGTGCAGGTAACGTAAATAGCGTTATGTATGTTTAGATTAGATTGGGTCTGGTCTAATCATTGCCAATTCTATTTCGCCGTAGGTAGGCGATCGGTTAGACGTCAGAGATCCGTTAATTATGTGGATTTATTTCAATCGTAAAGCTCGAATTTTCGACACTACTCCGTCGGAAATGAGTTACGCTAAGGTAACTGCAGAACGTGAATACATACCCATCTGTTTTGAATTTCGTAATTTCGATGATGTTCATCATTATTGGACTACTCTGCAACGCATTTGCGTATACACCAAACTTGGATACCGGCGTGGCAAGAATGAGAAGTGTGCGCATGAGAAAGTGTTAACATTTTTAACTGCTGTTGATTTCGACGAAGCACCGGCTAATGATAATGGCGATCAGCCAGGTGACGGCTTGGGCGCCGCCGGTCTTTCTACGCGCTTGTTCGCGCATACCTTCCGCAATTGGTCATGGGCCATACAAACCCATTCACCGCCTATAAAAAATGCACGCACCGGGCGTACTCTTGGTTCTACGTCGACAGTAATAAGAAGCAATAGCAAAACTATTAGAGTATTAGGGCATAATGTCAGAAAGACACATACACATATTAGTGTCGCTAAGCGTGCAACCATTGCCCCGTCCGTTAAACGTGCCAAAAAATCGGCCATTGTAGACGCCATCGATCGCGATGCTCTAAAGAATATGCGTACATTGCGCGTGCAATGGTCAAAACAGGAAGACGAAGTATTATTGGTGGCTAAGGCGGTTTCGATTTATTTAGCAACTCCGATACCTGCTTTTGGTCTTTTAAGCATTGGCAAAGTATGTAGAGATGTGATACGACATTCTCTTGAATTTTATAATAAAACTACTCAGGCTTGTGTAAGACGTGTTCAATTTTTGGTGCGTCAAAAAAGACACATACCCCAAGTCCCTACTTATTTGCATATGATGCAAACGGACAATTACCTGCAAGAAAAATATGCCGAAGGCTTTTTGCAAAAACTCAAAAAGATTTATCCGGATCGCAATGAATACACGAACGCTTTATCTCTTCATTTTACATTGGTCATGTGTTTCCTTTATAAAAGGATTTACAATGCCACCGATTCCATTATCAAATCGAAGTACTTGTTACCCGACACAGTGGCTGAATTCGAAAAATGTTTTACAAATCGGAGATCTGTTCAAACGGGCGAAGATGTGATCATATACCGAAATCCTGAAACAGATTTTGATTTGAAAATCGCAACAGTCATCAATACATTACACAGTTCGCTTTGTTCAATGCGCGACAAGACCTTATACAATTTACAGGCGTTTGAAATTTACAAAAGCTTCTCTGAAGAAATTTTACAGATCGCGTTTGCTAAAGCGCGCAGCGATGGTTTAGTGGTGGCGATCAAACGGAAAAATTTGAATCTATTACCTAATCAATTAGCCGGACCCGCTTACATACTTTCATCAAAATATAGGTTACGATTATTCTTCCTACGAATACCTTATAGTGTCTTTGATTCATTCTACGACTATTATGAAAACGTATTGACTTTCTTCTTTGGATCACACATTGCACAGCATGCAACGAAAGATTGCATGGAACTGAAGTCGCCTACATTAGGCCAATTGTTTGTTATTGCCGAAAGTTTATCCCGCGAATTATTGGTGCCCAATCTAAAATTGCCTATCAATATCCTAACGGTAGATGCTGAGCAAAATCAAGCAGTTTCTCCTATGGATCGTATTTTAGATCATTATCATACTATTTTTGACAACGCTCCAAATCCAGAATATAGTAAATATATCGAAAATGAACCCAATGAAAAACAGGTAAGTGATGAAACCAGTGATATATACGTCAGCTCAAAATCTTTACTCATTTCGATATTGTAGGTACGCGTTAAGTTTCGTCCAGCTAATCTTAGTTATAAACTGCACTATACTCCTTATGATTTCATTTCTAAATTGCCCATAAGATATTTGCATTTCTTTTGCGCTCTAAAACATATGGAACAAGAAATTGATATAAATTTTAATAAATTGGAAAAAGAAGATGAAGATGGACACAAAGTCATTGAATGTCCGTTCAAATGTATTTTACTTGAAGATAATTACCTGAACGCTATTGAGGCCATTGTAGCGGAAAAGAAAGAGGGGCTGAGCTCATTAAGTGAGATAGCACCGCAAAAACTGTTAAATATGGCTACGAGTGGCTTATCGGTCAAGGTAGAAAATAGTAATCTATTAACTCTAGTCAGAATGTTGGAATCGTTTTGGCATGAAAAAGAATCAGAAATTGAACGGAAAGATTTGGGTAAAATAGTTGGTAGCCTTAAGGCTTCCAAGCCCATTGATTGGTGTCAATTATGCCGCGAAATTTTGAATTTCGATGCCAATGACGATGATTACGATAAAGCTGAGGAATACGAACCCACGCTTAATAAAGAAGAACGCATTGTCCGAGCCCAGGATGTATTTGTTGTAAATTTACCAACGCTACAATTAAAAGTAAATGAAAACGTACAAAAAAGCACCGACACAATACCATACAACGCTTTAAATATACCGAAAATTTTAGTTCAATCGGAGCTTATTAAAGAGCAAATATTAAAAAAAATTGCCGAGTAAGATGAGCACAGTTTTGAAATGCTTAATATATATATATATATATATAGTAGGCGAACTAAAGTCAGTCCTTTTTCTCTTTGCATTATAGTGAAGCATTATGGAAGTATACGGATTTGGATATTGGAATGACTCGGGAGAAATCAAGACAACTTGGTTTTAATGAAATAGAACAGAAACGCCTAATGGAAATTCATGATTACATAGAAACTTATAATCTTGGTGTTCCAGTTACTGAACTGATGGTGAGAAAGTTGTCATATTTTTTTTTTTTTTTTTTTTTTTTTTTGGTTACAATTTTATAAAAGAGTTGCCTTTTCTTCCATACACACATCAATACATACATACATACATATATATTAGAGTAAATTCCCTCAGATTGAATTTTTACAAAAATCGTTGGACTTACTCTGTTCGGACTATTTGATTAAACGTGTGGGCATTTATACGTTTATGTATGTGCACAAAAATCACATACGTTCCTGGGTGGTGCATACCTTTAACTTGAAACGTTTAGAACGTGAAAATATAGGCGGATCTACGGCAGCGTTAAAGAGAAATTATGCATCTTTGACGAATCCAATTGAGGATAGCTTCGAAGAAGCTGCGGAAAATGCTCCCTATAAATTGCAAAAGTTAGATGAGGATCCAAATCAAATTGAGCAGCCTAGCACAAGTAGGCCTAGTAAACGTATTGTAAAACCTGTAAAACGTTTTACGGTAACCGAAACAAGATGCAATGTAAATACAGCAGAAAGGTATTCTTCCTACTTATTAGAAAGAGTTTAATAATGCTTTCAATGCGCGTACTTGCAGGGATGTTATTGTTATAAAACCAGTGCCCTGGATACGTTTAAACGGTTCGTTAAATCGTCGCGTGTTAGACAAATGGCTGGGTTCCATATTAACTGAATGCGTAGTCAGGTGCTGTTGTAGCGTAAGAGAAATTTGCCAAAGATTCCCTCTTATGTTACCGGTCGATATCATGTTCTTATTAGAGATTTTAAATGATCTTAAATGTTTGCATATGATAGAAATGCAAAAGCAAGAGCTAGACCTATTCTCCCAATATGAAACGGCTGCTGAAAGTAAGTTTATGTTTACTCGATATTTACTACAAACAAATTTTGATGAAAATTGATTTGTTTTTATTGCATTTACAGTCATCGTGACAAAACTCTATAATCCCGAAATGACATACATTCATACACATGGCGATGCAATAATGCGATTGGCTGTGTTTATCGGTAAAAAGAAATATAATACCGAGTTTATTTAAATGAAGAAGCCCTTGCGCAAATGGAAAATCAAGCACATTTATAACGAAGCGAAATGTAGCATCAATTGGAATATAAATAATTGGAAGCATTTTGAAAATATGATAATATCTGTGTTCTAACTTCGACCTCGTTTCGGCTGTTCTGCCCAAACACTGGTCACTTTGCCAATAGATCACAATTAACATAATCATTTTATTAAGCCATAGTAAACGATATTTGCTTTATTTCTAACACTTTTACACTATCGTTCCTGTAAAACTACTCTTTTGAGGTAAACAGTTTGCCAGTAGCCAGTTTGCATTTCATTATGTCTTCACCGACAGAAACAAAAACTGAAAATACAAATTCCAATGTGCATTTCCTCGTATCTGACGATATTTTTGTTTTGCTCATCTTCAAAAAAATGTCTTTCATATAAGCATATCTTATAGTTTATTTCATATATATTAACATATAACTCACTGCTACTCACTGTTTTCTACGGCCATTACATTTTGTCTGCACTTTACTATAAATTATTCGACACTACTCATCGTCCATTCCAGCCATTGCCTTTATTTTCATTATTGTTTGCTTTAAGTTCGTTGAACGGGGACGAATAAATACATCACTAGTTGTGATAAGTTTTAAATAACTACTAGGGCCACATAAAGCAAATTCCTTTCCTACTACCACCAACTTCTTGATATCTATCTATCTGGGGAATAAAATCTCTCAGAAATCTTGGCGAATGGACTTTTCACGTGTAACTCAAACACAACAGTGGAATGCAACAAAACGGCCTGTAAAAGATGTCAATCAAATCGAATCTACCACAAGTATGCTTGTAATATAATTTTTTGAGAAGAAATTGCTTTATCGAATAAAGGTATCTGATATTTATTCAGCGTTATGCTTGCAACGTGTTCAGTTGTATGAACGGAACGTGTGCAGTAAATATCGCATATATGATAGTCGACTTTTTTTTTTTTTTTTTTTTTTTTTTTTTTTTGAAAATTTCCATTTATTATTATTGTTTCCAAAGTTAGCAAAATCTTGTAGTTTTTTTTTTTGTTAATTTTTTTATTTATGCAAGTTCTCCAAATGTATTCTCTCTTTTATACAAGCGTCGCTTAATATCTCGATCTTGTTATCGGATGTAATAAGAATATCATCTTCTACTCGCACTCCCATGCCGCGAAATTCTTTTGGCACATCAGAGCGATCTTTTGGTATATAAATTCCAGGTTCTACTGTACATACCATGCCAGGTAATAGTGTTAAATTGCGAGGGATTTGTGGTGTATCATGTACATCCATGCCCAGATAATGTGAAACATGATGTGGACAAAATTCATAACCAGCCTATTATAAGGTTACCGATAACTTTCACTTTATTTTATATATAATCGTTTCAATAACCTACTCTGCCCAAACCGATCAAGTCGTCAATGCTCTTAGATACGATCCCAACTTCTTGCAAATATTTTCCCAATTTTATACACATAGTGTCAAAAAGTTCATCTAAGGTTTGCCCGCCTTCCTTTAACATTATATCTGTAAACGTAATTTTTATCAAGCAATTTTCTAATGTCAAGACTTGCGAATTGCGCTTCACTTACTAATTAATTCCTTTTGTAATTGTAAAACTACGTCATATAAAATCTTTTGAGGTTTACTGAATTCTCCATTAACTGGCCAGGTACGCGTTATATCACTTGTGTACCCACCATATTCACAGCCCGCATCCATTAGCACTAAATCACCGCTTTTTGTTAATTGACTATTTTCAATATAATGTATGGTGGTGGCGTTAGCACCACTGGCCACTACTGGAGGATAAGCTAAATAGCTAGCGTTGCGTAGACGACACTGATAATCGATCATTGCAAAGATATGATGTTCTGAATGTCCAGGCTTAGTGCAACGCATTACGTCATTTATGGCTTCGGAAGCTATTTGGCAGGTGCGCCTCATTAAATTTTGTTCTGCTGGCGACTTAATTAGGCGCATTCCATGCACTAATCCTATGGGCGACAATAATTGTTCTTCGCTTTTAATTGTCTCCAGAACGTTTAGCATTTGTTTATTGAGTTGCGGCAAATCGGAGATCCTCGAATCGTACCAAATCAACGGTCTCTCCTGTTGTAATAATTTTGTAAATATTGGCTTAAAGTTCTCCATTGGATAGCTTTCGTCGACACCAAACAGCTCGGAAGCCAACTCAACACCGGTACGTGTACCTTCCCATAATTCGGCGTGGCTGTCCTTAGGTCTCATAAATAAAGTAGATTTTATATTGTTTCTATCATCTATACTCATCATAAGCACTGTGTCTGGTTCCAAGCAGCCACACAGATAATAAAAATCAGAGTTTTGTCGAAACACATAAGGAATTTTATCGCTCATATATTTCTTGGTAGATGAGGGGATAATTACCTGCAAATTATAGACATATATGAAATGTTACCATATTTATATGATTTATGGACCACCTTACTGCATGATGCCGCTTATCTCGATTAATACCTCGAGTATTTTCGGCAACGTATTTTTGCAGTCTTATCATTAGTCGATGCCTGCGCTGTTTAAATTCGTCTAACTTTATCCCAGTTACTAGTTCATCTTGATTAATTAAATGCGGATGTGTTAAGGCTACCGGCTGGCCAAATCTCTTGCCGCTTAAAACATTTGTAGCTGATGTATTTGCTCTGGTTGGTGTCGTTGTTACAGCTGTTGCTGATGTAGAAAAAACGCTTATACTCCTCAGCTGATCTAAAATTATTATAATTTTTAATCCATTCATTGATCTATATTATTTATTATTTACCGAGTCTAATGGGCGAAATATAGACTGCATTGCGATAAAAAAGTTTCTTCCACATTATAAAGAGAGTCTATTTTTTCAATACAATCCTGATCATTCCAACAAAAAAAAATAAATAGAACTTAATCAAGAAAATAAATATAAAAATTCTTGCTCTTGTTCTTCTTCTTCTAAAATTGAATAAACAACAATAATCAACAATATCTGACTCACTGTGCTGAGTAAAAAAGTTGACTCATGAACTTAAAATGCTTTGCCTGCACCTCGATAATGTTAGCGCTCAGTTCGGTGGTTCATGTATATATATATATATATATATATCGTTTTATATCATTTTATTTTTCCGTATTTTTACAACATTTTAATATTATATTAACATATTCTGGCATTTTGTCCATTTTCCCAATGATTTCGAGATGGTATAGCTGCAATAATATATAATCTTGTATATATAAATGTGAATAAAAAATATGCATTCATCTCCCCTTGTACGTGTCCTGAATAGTTTTATACAATTTTTATAGGCGTGGCATTCGATGCGCCAATGCCACTATTACTCGTTTGCAGTGTCAGCGCATGCTGTGCTTGAGCCACACACGCGACACACGGACACGGTCCGCCCAGTTTCTCTGCCAAGGCAGAACGCAATTTAAGAGCCGGTCCTAATTTCATGCCCAACGAGTTCACCAGATGATCTTCAGTTAGTAAAGGCAAGCCCGACCCATCAATACATTGATCACGAAAATGCTGCAACGAACAACAAAATGTGTACAGATAACAATGAGTAACACCGTAGTGTAAGATGTGCTAGCGTGAAGATTGCAAGTTTACATATAATTGCATTTGCGTGTATAACGAAAGTGTGGATATGTTGCGCAAACAAAACGAATGTGATTGATTTTGAACAATTATGCGTTTTGATCACAAGCTCTCAACAAAGGGTAGATTGCAGTGTATGCCGCCAAATTTCCGGGAATAAAAAGTATAAATATGGTGTGACAAACAGGTAGACCGATAATCGGGCACACAAATACAAAATAATCAGGAGATTGCAAAGCCCCAGATGTGCATGAGGGCCTGCTCGCAATGTTATTAGCGTCTGGTGTGTTTAAACATTGGTCTAGTAAAAGGCATAAAACATTCTGCATGAAGTTACAATAGGTGAATCAGGGTATTATTGTTTATCTGCGGAGCTAAGGAGTATTAGCGGCGACGATGAATTGAATCATTCAAAGACTGTTGCCCGAAAAAGTTGGAAATCTGCTTGTCGATCGCCCCCAACTCAGCAGAAATCAGGGCACGATCATTAACATGTGATCGTCTAGAAGATGCGCTATTATCTGCTTTAGTGAATACCCATGTGGCTAGGTATCCGGTATTGGAAATATCTAATCTCTAACATACATGAATGAATTCTGGCTAAGAGAAACCATGCAAATCAAATAACACAGACTTGCTCCTACAATTGTAAGGCATTCAGCCGGGAATATAGAACTGCTTGGATGGTTTTGAAAAATAAGGTTCATTGATAATATCCGCGAACCAGAGATCGGAATTGAATTCATAAGTAAAAATGAATGAAAAATGCTTCCATATGTCATTAACCAAATTCCAGTAACAGCATTATTGCCCTTCCGTAGTAGTATTTGTGGACTTCCGCACTGACAGGAATTTCATTATAGGCTGAAAATTACGTAAATTATTTTTGTTAGTTCTTAAAATTTGTAACTTTGTAAGAATTGACCGGTAGAAGATCGTAAATGAAAGACAGACCGATTGACACACATTATTAGTGACGACATTGGCAAATGATCGAAATTTTTTAGGTAAAGGCATAACATTTGCCATTTGTTCTAAGCTTAATGCATGAGAGGAGGTCATGACACCTAGAACTAGACGAGAAGGCATATTCAATTGAAGTCGGCATAATTGAGAAAGCGTCTCCTAGTTTTGCCCTTACTAGCCCAATAAGCAACTTAATCAAGGCGTGTAGTATCAGCAGATCCACAAGATAGCAATGTGGAACAAGTGCTAACGATCTTGTTCAATTCCATGAGTAGAAAGAGTTCGTTTTCACTGTCCAAGGTCTACAAGTGACCGTATGAAAAGGTGTCTTCTGAGAGACTTATATCTTTGTTGAATCCAGAATAAGATATTTCTTCTAAGGACGGAAATATCACATTGTTCTTTATATGACACAGAGTGCATTGTAGGAGAGACCTTCTAAATATTCCTCTATTAAAAGGCAAAACGGGGCCGATTCGGCTTAACATTTTATCGCCCTGATTCCCTTTTTGGTTGGAAAGTTACGCGTTTCGCCCGATTAAAGCAATCGTTATTAGCGCAAAAACACATTCACACCATGCAACTAGGTACAGAAGGTAATGGACAAAAACTGAGAATAATTTTGCTTCTAGGTGCGCGTAGTTTTTTTTTTTTTTTTTTTAGAAAGTGGACGAATAGGTGATTTGGCTCCAGGCAAGAACGAATACATGTATTTTTATTTATTTATGTATTTCTACATGAAACACAGCTAATAAATACACAACCGAATTAGATAGAGTCTTAGGAATGAATCTTATCTGCAAAAATGTAAAAAAAAAACAAAAAAGATTAAGAATAATGAAAACAAAAGCCATGTGTTAATAAACAACAGAAAAAAAAAAAAAAAAAAAAAAAAAATAAGTAAAAAAATTAAATTCCGAATCGTTACCGGATCTATTTTGTACGCGTCACCGTTATCCTTAAAAAAGACAAAAGAAGTAAGAGATTGGATTGGGCGCGGCTGAGTTTTTCTATTTTCAAAATAAAAGTTTTTGTCGTAAAGGCATGTGGGCGTTGTAGGCGTGTCCTTTGAAAAGTTCATATCAATTGCAAATTCCGTTATAAATTTGTAGGCGATATCTTCACTTTCGCTAAAGCGAGCTTGTGCTTACCACAAGCAGACAGATAGACACACGGATCGGCAAATATGTTTAGATGCATTCCAAATTTGAAACTGGCCATGAATGCAATTTGTAGTTAGATAATATTAATTACATAAGTTAATTGCATTTCTCTGATAACGAAACGAAAGACAAAAGCTCGAGTTCATAGGTAAGCAATAGTAAGCATGAGCTTAGACGACAGCGCATGCTTCCGCGTCTCCTATTGGCGAGGAGCATAACACTCACTTTCCAATCGCTCAAGCTACAAAATATTTGTAATTAGAATAATTTGCGAATAAAAATGAAGATAATGAGAAAAATGTTCACATTTGCTTTAAAAATGATCGCGAATATTCAATATTTTATATCGAAATAAGAAAATTGTTTTTGCTAACGAAAAATTATTTGTATTTTTTCTATAATTATTCAATAACATAACATTTTGAGATCAGCAATAAAAATATGTCAACAAGAATTAAATCTCAATAAGACTGAATTCCTAAATTGGACACATTTTTTTTTTTTTTTTTTTTTTTGTTTTTAAATATATTTTTGTATTTCATCGTAGAAAGCTAGGACAAGAGCAGCACCTGTACCACGTAATATATTAGAGAAGGCACCTTTAAAGAATGCTCTTAATCCTTCCGTCTGATGGATGGTGTACCAACAATGCATTGTATTCTTATAAAGCATTTCTTCTTTTTTTAAACCCGATTGCATCATCATGCGTCGACGAACCGTATCAAAAGGGTACGATGTAATGCCTGCAATCGTTGTAACTACTTGGGCAATTGCCCAACTAATGTAGAATGGCGTCTCCTTAGGATTCGGTAGAAAATCACGACAGGTATCATAGAAACCAAAATATGTGGCACGGTATATAATAATACCTTGTACGGAAACATTAAAACCGCGATATAGGCCAACAAAACCATCACTTTTGAAGACTTTCATTATACAATCACCCAGACCATGAAATTGGCGAGTTTGCCCTTTACCCACATCCGCGGCGAGACTGAAAATTCCATAAGCATTTTCAAAAAGTTAGCAATCATTATGAATAATGCGTAAATTTTTTATTTACCGGGTACGAGCAAAATCTAACGGGTATACAATAAGCAAGGATGTAGCTCCAGCAGCTCCGCCCGAAGCTAAATTGCCAATAAAAAAACGCCAAAACTGTTCGTGCTTATTGACGCCGCCCAGAAATATCTAAAAATCAGTCAATTTATTCAAATATATAAGTTATCGGGTTAAATGTTATTTTATTTTATATATATAGGAACACGAAGCTAAAAATTATTCTTATTATTATTATTAATTACACAAATATATTTATATACCCTCACCGTACATAATTACCTGCTTGTATTTATCTTTGAAAGCAAAATTTAACGCTTGCGTTGGAAAATATCGAATGACATTAGCCAAATTGCCACGCCAATAGGATGCGAATCCTTGCTCCTTAGGCAAACGTACAAAGCAATCTACAATGCCTTTGTAACGCTGCTCTTCAGGAATCTGCTTAGATACTTCCTGAACCTGTAGTAGTAACTTTACGCGCTCAATCGGAGCGACTGCAGTTTTAGCAACGGCCGCAGATACTCCGCCAGCTAAGAAATCTTTCAAAAATGATACCGGATCTGATAAATTTTTGCCCATGATCAAATTTTGCGACTACCTACATATATAAAATACATTCAATTATATTATTTTGCTTACTTACAGCGATATATATATATAATATCGATTTCATAGTATAACAATAATTATTATATATTTTCCATAGCCACCACCATAGAATGGGAGTATACTCATTTTATCATAATGCTTGCACAATAGGCAAAAAGAAGCTACAGAGACCCTATATAGTATTTTTTTATTCTTGATCATTTTGAAATTCTGAATCAATTAAGCCATGTCTGTCGGTCTGTGTGCGGTGTGCGTTTGATAGAAACATTGGTAATTTCTGCAAACAGATTGCTATTAAAAATGGGACAAATTCGTTCAAGCACACGCACGCACGCAGCAAAGCGTAAAGTGAACGTAACTCGGCTTCTCTAAGGAAATATTAATAGATTTTTGCTATAAGGCTGAAATTTTTCTACTTTACGGAAAACTCGACCATTTAACATGCGAAAATGGGGAAAACCCGGCTTGCCTATATATATATATATAAAGTTACAAGTTATTAAATTTTCTTTTTTTCACGTTTTTATGCTTTTTGTATTTAATAATCGTAATCGGTGTGTTATCTGCTTAAGAATCCGTTAGTTCTAAAATAAATATGCTGGACACCATGACGTGGTGGAGCACCTTTCAATTAGTTTGTATCTCTGTCCGCCTAAAATTGTAGCGGAAAACTAAAGTCGAGTACATATTATATTCGAATTTCATTGGTACGGAATAAGTTTAATAATCGAATTACTAAAACAAGGTATGATTTAAAATTTATAAACTTTACCTGATTCTTGATAATCATTTCTGTATAAAATTGTAGAAAAATTTTGAAAATGTTTTCAAATATTTTGACTAATTTACCATAGTAAATTTAAAAAAAAATAAATAAATAAATTGAAAAAAAAAAAACCTTTTTGCCGGAAATACTTTACTTCAATTGATAGCCGCGGTTGGTCCGTTACAGTTTTCAAATTAATTTAAAAAAATACTTTAAAATTTCCGAATTTTTTAATAGAAATTCGTTTCAGTTTTTTAGCATTTAGTTGAAGTTGAAAGTATGTTGGCAAACTTTTAATACCTTCCCTAATATCTTTCCACTTTCAGGACTCTAAGCCATGATTTGACATAAATGATTTGACTAAGGAGCTCATATCACTTATTTCGTAAATCGTATAAAAGAGATAGGATCTGAAAGAATTTTTAAAATGCAGAACTTAATCGCATAAGATTTAAAAACAATGAACACTAAGCGATAATTCGGACAATCGTCAAGTCGAGTGCTCTTCCAACGAAAATAAATAAATAAATAATGCGTACTGCGACAATACTTTCTACTACTAATTCCATCGTTCCCAAAACAATTATTTACTTATATTTCAGATCGCCAATCAACCTACTAATCCGAATAATATCTATTAAATAAAATTCACCCATCTCGCAATAAAATTTTGCAAGATATAAAATCACTTCGCGATCTCATATCAAAATATTGATCTTGATGAAAAACACCTGCAAACCTCAGGTACTAATAAATAGCTCGGGTCATATTTTGAATTCGCTTTACGAAACACACTGCAATCTCGGTTTTAATCCCGGCTTAGACCTGCCTTTTGCCTAAATTCTATTTACGAATTTACGACTGATGTCGATGGGGAAACCATTAACTAAAAACAAGACCCACCCACTCAAATAAAGAATCTACATTCTACATAGAACAGCAAAAAAATAAGTCAATAAATGAAGTATTTCGAAAAACATATGGACATCTGCTGCTGCAAAGCTCCAAAGCTCCCTTATCCAGATGACTTTAAAATGAAAGCAATAAAACGCGATAATTACACGAAAATATATTGGAAGTTATAAAGCCCACTGAAAGCTCTTAAATCGATAAGAATATTTTTGGTGACAAATGCACCAAGTAAATTAAAGTCTTCAATTTGTAGCTGTTCGATGATACTATAAAAATATTTGCCACCACATATGCAGTTAAGGATAGTAACACCATGTCAGTCACATCACTCTTCCGAAAAACTAAATATTATATATGTACAATCACTATTTCGAAATCAAGTTCAAAATCTATTTAGCGACTATAGGCGGCCGTCTCTCTTCATAATCCAAATAAAAATATGTTTAGTGCGCCGAGATGTATAAATATTCTGAAAAGATTAATTGAAAAACTAACCTCTATTAACAATGTATAGTTTACTCTGTTTAGACTAAATATTCGAACAATTATATATATATATACATATATATATACATATATTTGGTTATATAAATTGTTAAACGCTCATCATCTATTTGTTTTTGCTTATTTATTTATCACTATTTCTGTTTCAATGCTAACACGTTCCCCATTATTTTTCCAATTGGTGTAATGGGAATGATGAACGTTATAGACCCCCCCCCCCCACGTTTGAAAGTGTAGCGTAATGAGAAACGATCCACTTTATGGACTCGCGGCCATTGGCCCACTGGCCCATGTTGAAATGTTGAAATAAAATTGAAATAGTGTTTCGATTTTTATAGTTTTTTTTATTTATTTATAATAATTTTTTTTATCTTAGTTTATGTTGGTTTCGGATGAACACGTACTAAGAACTTATTGTTGTTGTATTTCCGCTTGATACTTTTGTTGATGTTGTAACATCACGATTTAAACTTAAAATACATACAATTCGAAACGAACGAACACGCGCGATTTTCTTTTTCCTTTTTGGTTCTTAAACGTAGAATTTGTATACTTTCTTCTCAGTTGATGGTTTGTTTCTGCATGACATTGTGTGTGTGTGTGTTATAGTTGTTTCGTGTTGCTATCGCATTTGTTATTTGATTTAAATTACAATAATTGAGTTAAACTTTAAAATTAAATTAAGAATTCGTTACTGTGCGGGACAGGTTACAGAAATGGTAATAGTTTTAGGATAGTTAATATGTGTGTATGTGTTCCGTTTGTGTGTGTGTGTGTGTGTGTGTGTATGTGTATGTGTGTGTGTTTGGAAGGGAAAGGGTGTGGATGTGTAGGTGTGTTTGTTTGTATATGTGTGTACGTATGCGTAGATTGGTTTATGTTGCTGATAGTTACTTTAATTTACAAGAATTTCTTGATTTCATCGTATAACACAAGCACGAAAGCACCACCAGTACCTCTGAGAACATTAGAGAAGGCGCCCTTGAAGAAGGCACCTGGACCTTCTTGCTTAGCAATTGTAGCCCAGCAATGCACTGTGTTCTTATACACAATGTCGGCAGCCTTGCGACCGGACTGCATCATCATACGACGGCGCACAGTATCGAATGGATAGGATACAATGCCAGCAACGGTTGTAACAACTTGAGCAATAGCCCAGCTGATATAGATCGGTGTATTCTTGGGATCGGGCAACATACCACGAGCGGTATCATAGAAACCAAAATAGGCTGCACGATAAATAATGATACCTTGCACCGAAACGCCAAAGCCACGATATAAACCGACCAAGCCATCAGATTTAAAGATTTTAGCTAAGCAGTTGCCAAGACCAGTGAATTCACGAGCACCGCCCTTACCAGTATCAGCAGCCAAACTAAAAAAAAGAAGAAAAGTAAATAACATTGCACGGAACGCATTTTGCAAAAACATAATAAAATCTTATCTTACCGAGTACGGGCGAAATCCAAGGGATATACAAAGCAAAGTGATGTGGCACCAGCGGCACCGCCAGATGCTAAATTACCAGCAAAGTAACGCCAGAATTGGGTGTTCTTATCGACACCGCCCAAGAAAATCTACAACACGCGCATAAGTTAAAATATTTAGCTCCATTCTCGTAACACTTCTTTCATTTACGCCGTACTTACTTGCTTGTACTTATCCTTGAAAGCGAAGTTCAAAGCCTGAGTAGGGAAGTATCTGATAACATTGGCCATATTACCACGCCAGTATGATGAAAAACCTTGTTCTTTTGGAATGCGGACAAAGCAATCAACCATACCTTTGTATTGTTTATCAGGACTAATTTGCTTAGAGATGTGCTGCACTTGCAAAAGCAACTTAACACGCTCAATAGGGGCGACGGCAGTCTTTGAAATGGCAGCAGACACACCACCGGCAGCAAAATCCTTCAAGAAGGCAACTGGATCGGCCAAATCTTTACCCATTTTTCTGTATATTTGACAATAATAATCATTTAAAATACTTGAATTTTCAGTCCATGCAGATATTTGTAATGTTTAAACAGCCAAGCACCACTTACAGATTCATTTTGTCGCTCATATCCACACACACACACAAACACACTCTTTACGTCAAATGGAATGGATTGATGAATACTTGTTAAAATGGAATCGTTAACAATGGAATTTGATCGATGTTTATGATAAGGTTGATTCATTCGTCGCAAATACACCACACAGACACACATTTATATATCAAATATTAAATTAAAGGTAAATTTCTTTTTTCATATATACAGAAGATTTCATTCTTATAGATAAATGAAACACATACAGTAACACACACATAGCAAACGTCCAGCGTACTCACTTAAAACCATTCTGTTAATATAACTATGTATATATATATATATATATATATATATATAAATATATATACAAGCGATTAACAGAATGTTAACATATATATGTAAATAGCGAGGAACATTAATATAGCATACAATAATCTAATTATGTTATTTTACATAAAAGAAAAGACGAAAGAGTATATTAAATAAGAAGAAGCTATAACGCGATACACAATTTTGCTCTCCTTTCTTTTGCTAACAATGTCATGCACGTTTTGCTCGTTATCAAGAACTTGAAATTCTCGAAGTACATTTTTTTTTTTACTGATCGTAATAGAGATACGCACGTATATAATAATATGATAAGTCACTATCAAAATAAATGTAATTTCTTCCTTGAATGTGGCATCATTTACTGATAACCACATGGTTATTAATTACGTGAGCAAAAAACTACAATGTTAAGATCACTAACACACGTACACATACTTTATAAATCCCCAATGAATGTTAAGTTGCAATAACACGATTGGAAAGAAAGGTATAAGGTGTTATTGCCACGAGGACAGCATATATAAGCTAAAATTTTGAAAATGCTGGCATAGCAACATAAATTGAGAATTGTTTAGCCGTAAGCATATGTATTGCAGACAAACTATGCACACTTAGGTGCCCTTTTTAATGTTAAATAAATTTAACTATTGTTAGGCAATATGATTAGCAATTTTCTACACTACACACGGAACAAATGATTGACAACCAATTGTGTTTCGGTAAATGATTATTTAACACCACGTGGTTTTCGTATACATATACGCATATATTATTATATTATAAATGTTGACAATTAAATAAGAAGAGAAGCAGAGTATGAATCTTCTCGCTTATATATGCTATTGCATAATTTATGTGAAAATGTTTATCTTTCCAAGAATCGTTATACAATCTAAAAGCATAAAGCATATCTGTTCAGCAAAAGCGATTAAACTTGAAAATGTACGTTCAAGGTACGCAATGGAACTCTAACAAGGGGAATAAGTTTTTCTACTCTTTTCCCCAGTTACGTCACATTTCAATTTCTACATATAGAATTTATATAATTTTCTTCACTTTCTTCTTTTTTCCAATTTGTGGAATATGATTCTATAATTCTTTAGAATTCTTTATAAAGGAACTTTCGTTCTATATCTAAAAAAAAAAAAAAAAATGATAAGTTGGCAACACTTCCATACTTTTTTTACTTTAACTTAAGGGTGTAGTTGTGTTTATTAGATTGCATAACGGTTTTCGTAGTAAAGAGAAACTTTTCGATAAAATATTCATATATTTTTTACGTTCACAAATAAAAAAACTTTATCTTCAATTAAAAGCGAAATATTTCTTCTTCAATGTAATAAAAAAATTATTTATAATGCTTTCAAAGAAAAAAATTTATGAAACAATATGATTAAATCGAGTCCATATTCACAGCACAAGCACACATTTAGAAAGTACATAAATAAATAAATAAAATAAATAAATAATTTTATGAATCTGTTTATAATAAATTCATAATAATTTACTTATTTGCACTTGAAAAACTTTTTACATACTATTTATTTTTGTTATATCACAGTATAAAAACCAAATTTAAATCCCTTTTGGAATAGTAGACCGCACTGATTGGCGATTCGAACGTTAATAAAATATTAGTAGACTACAAATAAGTGTTAAGTCACTTTTTACCCGTAACATTAAATCAAGTTTATCGGTAACGGTCTCTGTTATTTTTTTTCTCACTTTCTTTCTTTCTCTCTCTCTCTCTCTCGCTCTCTCCCTCTCGAAAAGCTTTTATTTGACAAACAACCTTTAATTTGAACCGAAATGTTTAATAAAACGAAAACACAAAACTAAATATAATGCAAAGAAATATGAATATATATATATATATATATATATATAAAACAATAGTATATATAAGGATGGACTTATGTTTGTAATGAACTTTTGCATTTGCAACGTTTATCTAGTCTTTCTGCAGAAAGCTTTGAAAATTCTGCATTTTTCATTATACATAGAAAACTCAAGTGCAAATTTTCAATGGCAAATTACATAATAGTATAACATTCAAGGAGAGCAAGTATTTTGGAGAGAGCAAAAAATGAAAATGGAAATGGAGAGAGAGCAAAGAAGATTAAAGAAAACGTATTGCGTAAAATTAAATTATGAAAGCTTTTCGAATATACGAAGGAAATTAATCATATGTCGTTGGCAAAAGATGAAAAACATAAAAGTTTTCGACTTGAAGCGACTCTCTGTTATCACCACACACGTTGAGCATTAGATAAAAAACAAGTAGGCTATATGCATCATCTTTGGGCGAAATTGATACCCACCATCGCCGCCCCAAGCAAATAAATATATATGTAGGGAGTTTTTTCTTAATTATGGGCGAGGTTACCGACAAAAGTTCTAATCATTCTTGTCTTTTATATAAATATATTCAAATTTAAACTAAAGCGAACCAATTTCAAATAAAACCTCTTAGTGTTACGTCTTTCAAACACACATACCAGACAGACAAACGGAGACCTTGATCGCGTCTAAGCGATCGAAAATGGATATATTTTATTTGGCCTATCATCTGTATAAGCATTATAAATGCTGAATAATTTTCATTACGTTTTGGAAAATATTTACAAGACGCAATTTAAAGCAGGAGACTTTGATTATGACGTTTTAATACGCACACTTTTCTAAGAACGTATATGTATCTCTTATATAGTTATACGTAAGCATTCGTATAAACGTTGCAAAAAATTCCGTCAACTCTAGAATAAAGGTCGACATCAACGCCCAGTTTATGTAATATTGTTCCAACAATTAAACAAAAGATTATCCTAACAATGCTACAAACCATATAAGTTATTTATGCTTTACAGAGTCTTAAGTAATTCTAATATAGAAAAACTAAAGAACAACCAACCTTTTGAGTAAGCAGACAAAAGTAAATGTTTCTCATAGACGACATTTAGTGGTAAAAAAAATAATATTCTTAAAGAAATATAGAATAGAATTTTCATTTGTTCAAGCGCACAAATAAAAAGTCAAAGAACGATCGATGAACTTTTATAATAAACCAGACTTCCCCTATATAAAGTTATCCGTCAAAAAGAAAGCACAATATGTGTAAGCTACTTAGCCTCCAGTAAAGTTAGTATATACTTTCATTCTTGCTTGATTTACTTTTTAAAGTATGCCTAGTCGAATCGTGCGTAATGTAAGGTGCGGAGGTTGCCATTCTACAATAGTTTGATGAATCAATTTTTCTTCAATTATTCAAATTTTTGTAATTGAATATAATATATTTCGCTTTCAAACCTCCATCGTTACACATCCATCAAGAATGCAGGAACAAATGCTTAAATTTTTAGAAAGAATCAAAATTCGCCTTTAAAGACGTTGCAAACGAAAACCCCAAATTAATATACATTTCCAATAGTTGGGTATATAAATAAGTACAAGTTTATGGCTTTGATCTCAAGTATTCTATCATTCCGTTAGATAATCATTTTGTTTGGCGAGAAGCCAAAAAAAAAAAAAAAAAATCAAGACATTTGCTCACAATGAATGGATGTTTTAAGATTGTACGCAACTTTTATTTTTTTCGGTTTTTTTTTTTTGTTGACAAGGCCTTTCACAAACAAATACGTTTTCAGAAAAACAACATAAGACTTCAAGGTCCCACAAGCATAATTTCTTTTCTTTCTTTTTCGTATATACCGTATGAAGAGATGTGATTAATATGAGTTAGAATTAAATATTTCCAAAGTTGTAACAATGGGTCGTTCACCTGCGTGATTGATTAATAAATCTTGTAGACTATTCAATGAAACTGATAAGAAAACAAATCAAATGCATTTAGTTAATGAATTTTTACAAAATTTCAAAACACGGTTATCGCTACCGTAAAGATTATGCATAAATTTTATGTAATTTTCTATAATAAGTATCAATCAATTTTCCAATTGGTTTTTTTTTTTTCCTTTGTTTAACAGAACACATGGGAAGAACACATCACTTACGTTTTCATTGGGATGTTGGAATGTTAATGATTCGCTATAAAATTTTAATATATTTCAGTAGTGTGCCTACATTATGACTCCATATACTATTTTCACGATCACGATTAAGAATAAAAACTATAATTGAGTAGAAGAGAGAGTGCAAGAAAGTGGGCAAAAATTATTATCACGGCGTAAGAAAATTTTATATACGCCTTGGTGTGAACTGCGCGGTCACCACAACTTCGAGCATGAATGCAAAGATGGCAAATTATTTTATTAACTTGAATTGAATTTCAAAGTTTGCGCTCGTGCCAAATAAAGTTAAATACCGCTTGTTGTTAAAAGCAATATGTATAATCTTCTTTTCAATTTCTTTAACTTTGATGGCTTGATCGTTCCGCCGGGCAAAGGCAAAGATAAACATGAAAAAATCGATTAACTGATCGAAAAAGTGTGTAGAGTTTTAGGGATGGACTTTTTGTATTTCTGCATATAGGATATAAACTCATTACATTTCCATTTTCATTGATGATTGTAGTGATAATGACTTTACATTCACCTTGAAGTGAACTTTATTGTAAACCTTATGAATAGTATATGAAAAAAAGAAAACAGTTTGGCCTTTTTCCCACGAAAATTTCATCAAGGCATTAGAGCTTATTGGGCATTATATAAATAAAAAGAAATCCTTTTATTACAGAAACCAACTCAATCGAAAATATTTGCGAGCACTGAGCTTACAGAATTTACTAGCGAGCTTTGAATTGGAACGCAACAAAATGCCTTCCCATTTGCTTTATGTAATCAATTGCCTTATGCGCCAAACCAACTACCTATGTAAAAAGGAATGTTTTTATCCAAACTGTTTCATATCAAAGTTCATCTTCAAACGAAGTGTTCATCATCATCATCATCATGAATCTTAGGCCGCATAATTTTCAACAAAATTCCTTGTTAATCTGTTTTTATTTTTGTGGGAATTTTACACGCTTATACACGCATGTTTCGAACTATGGAATTGAACCAAATAAATAAACGTGCAAAATTTAGACAATCAATCATCAATATTCAGGAATTTGAAAATTGAAAAACAAGCACAGTGTATACAAGCCGAATGAGAGAATTATTGTCTGCACATATTCCAGGGTAGATACGAGAAATATTAAAGCGAATATTTAAAATGCTTCCTTTAGCAAATTGTATAGCAATACTTTATCGTCCCTGAAAGATTCGTTACATATATATATATCGTAATTATTTAAAGAGCGTAAATCTTTGAAAAAGAGACATAAAAGAGAAACAATTCTATTCGATATATTAGTTTAACACATGGTCACGCAATTCCAATGAATTCTGTCGCGAGAACAAAATCCACAAAATAAAAATTGAGAGCAATGTCAATAATTGAAAAAAGCCACTCCACACACCGTACTTTTTTAAGCCTTCTTACAACGTGAAAATATTTTAGGTTATGTTTAATTCATTAACATGAGAGTAAGCAAAGTATAAAAAAAAAAAAAAACGGGTACTATTATGCTTGTGGAAGTCCGGTAACGAAAAACGGCAGACAATATCAACAGCTAATAGGAGAGTTCCTGCGAATATAGCAACTTAACTTAAGAAAACTTAATAAATTATACATCTTTTGGACAAATGTTTTGCCGCTTTTGCAATTTTCCTTTTTCCGCATATATTTTTAGCTTTAATAAACATCCTTCTATCCATATGCATTCTCTACATATGTATATATATTCTCTCTCTATATATATGTATATATTATATATATCGACATTGGAGTTTTAAATGCATAGCAGATCGTAGAGATGTTACATAAGCATTGCGGCTACTTTTTTCTTATACAACATAATCTGTCATTTGAAGATCAAATTGATTCTTCCGACGTTATGTGTTACATAAAACGTATCTCTTTCTCATTAACATAAATGAAATGAAACTGGAATAATGTTTCTTCACCACATTTCATCTTGAAAGCCTCTAATTTTAACATTTTCTCTTAAATTTACGATTTTTTATAAATATAAAATCGCACAAGCATGCAAATATACTACTAAACACAGAAATTTTTTTCTTTGATATTATGCGCACAATAAAAGAAGTAAAAGAAAGCGTTTTCCTGCATAAACAAATTCTTAATTGTTATATGAAAATTACCATAAAATACCTTGTAGTTGACTTAATATAACTTCTTTCAAAAGTTACACAATAAAAATTTCTTTCAAAGAACAATTCTTAGATTTTCCCGAAATCGATGACGCGTTTTCACTTGACGGCTGTAATTCGTGAAGTATGTAGTGATGTTTTCATTATTGAATACCAATTACTTTGTATTCGTCATTCGATTTTAGTTTCAACTACTTAGAAAATCACACCTACTCGTTACTGACTATCAGAGTTGATCATTTTTAAAGTAAAAAATCTAAAGCAGCATAGTCATTATTAAGCTATCAAATTAAATCTTACATATATATTTTAAGATGTATTTTATATATAACATTTCATTTCAATTGGACTTTTTCATTGATTGATGTTATAATAGCAGAATGATGTGCTCATCTATGCACCTATACATTTTACGGCATTATTTTAATTCATTATATACACCCTTCCATTTTTTTAACGTATTGGTTTGTTCATTTTCATACCTTATTTTATAAATAGTCTTAATTAGTTCCAAATGTTTAAAATTTATTAAGATTAATGGTCATTGTTGTTTATAAATGAGAATGAAGTGAATTTATAAATTTTAAATTTATATAAAACTTGACAAAGTATATTTATTTAGTTTTCTTTTTTAAACAGTTTGCGATATTAGCCAAATAATGTTAAGAGTCCCACAGCTTCGAATGTTGTTATATTAAAGTCGTCTCGTCTTATGTCTTCTCCTTTTTTCGGCCCTTATCTACTAAATTTTTCCCATTTTATTAATAAGCGTGAATGAATTGTCTAATTTATGTTTATTTTGCAGAAATTTAAGTCTTTTTTACTATTCCTTCATATTATTTTTTCAATTTTAAATTTATTTGTTTGCTTAGTATTTAATCTATCAGTGAAGTCCCAGTGAAATGCAGTTTTCCTTCTCTTAAAGTCATTTTTCTTCATTCGTTAATCAAAAATTACTACATTAGTCAATCAAAGATTTACTTTGATTTTACATTAATTTTTTTATTGTTTTTTTTTTCAATATTTATTAACATTTATGTCAATTTCTTCAATTTTACTTCTCAAAGTATTTCAGAAAACTTTAATTAAGGATTCGCTGTGGATTGAAAACACCTAAAACTATATTTTGTTAATAAAATCTACAAAAAACTTGTTAGATGTTAATTTACAGAAACAACGTAATACTCTATGCTGTTTACAGAAAAAACGTAATACTCTAGGTTATTTACAGAAAAAACGTAATACTCTATGTTATTTACAGAAAGAACGCAATGGTCTATGTTAAAGGCAAAGCCGTCGGCAAAAGTCCACAAAAATCGCTTTTAGCCCGAAAACCGTCGATTTTCTTAGCAGTTATACATATCTGTTAGCACTAACTTTTCCATTAAGTGGTAACTACGTTAATTGTGATTATCCAATTTTCTAACTTTTCACTTTATCCAAATGTTTTTTCATCTAATATTTGCTTTATCCAAATTCACCATCTGTTTGTTTGCTTGTCTACATCTCTCTCAATAAATTTTCACGTTTTTAACGAAAATTTGTGATCGGGGAAATCAGTTAGAAACACTGCCCAAAACAATAAGTCTTTGCTCGAAGGAAGGAAGACAGTTGCAGATTTGTTCATCAAACTTAGGTATTTTAACATTTTGTAAATTCGTTAAAATGTCGGGCCGTGAAGGTGGCAAAAAGAAACCACTTAAAGCGCCGAAAAAGGAAGTGAAGGAACTGGACGAAAATGATTTAGCCTTCAAGCAAAAGCAAAAGGAACAGCAAAAGGCACTGGAGGCAGCTAAAATGAAAGCAGTACAAAAAGGACCTTTAGTGGGCGGCGGAATTAAGAAATCAGGCAAAAAATAGGCGCATTTAGAAAATTAGTCCCTCGTAAGAAATACCATTTCTTGTTCAACCCTTTGATTTTTTATATGTTTTTTGTATAACGAAGATTGATTAAAGAAAATTACATGTACTGTTAATCAAAATAACACAATATTTAAAAATACAAAAACGCTGCCTATGATTCAAGTAAAATATATTATATTTCAAATTATTAGGTAAGTAGAAATTTTTCAACGCTTTACTAAGTTTACTTAAGTTGCAAGAGAAAAATTTATTTATCGAAGCTTTTCATATCACTAGCAAAGGGAAAGCTGGACTGTGTCCCAGGCGATTGTATAGAAAATGCAGCAGCCCGACAAGCGAAAGTAATATGACTTTTCATGTCCATTTTAGAATGTTTGGTCATATGATAAGCTAGCGCACCCAAAAAGCTATCACCCGCACCAGTAGTATCTACTACAGTTCCGACTTTATTCGCAGCAATGTGTGTGCACTGGAAATTCTCGGTATTGTCGGCATAAATGGCACCCTTAGCACCTAATGTTATAATTACACATTTTGCACCCATATCTAGAAGCTCTTTAGCGGCGCTTTCAGCTTGTCTATAATTTTATGAATGGGAATATTATTATTATTAATTATTATTACATTATAAAATCGCTGCAAATATATTTTAACCTACTGAACATCTGTTATATCGACCCTTTTAGTTATTAAAGCAGCCTCGGTTTCATTTACACACAATATAGAAGCGGCTTTTATTAAATCTACTGGCATATCCTTTAGAGCTGGAGCTGCATTAAGAATTGATATGCCCTTAAAGCTATGCAAGGCTGCCAATGTCCCTTCTATTGGTGTTTCCAACTGACACAATAAAATCTTTGATTTTTCAAAAAGATGTTTAGCGGTGCGCACGTCTGCTCTATTTAATTCTGCGTTAGCTCCCTTAACGATAATTATTTGATTATTCCCCTCTTTCGATACAGTGATCTGGGCGAAACCTGTAGGCAAGCCCGCACATTGTTTCACATAATCCACGTTAACATTTTCCGAACGCAATTTTTTTAGGTAGTCTGCACCCCAATTATCATTGCCCACTTTAGCCACAAGAGCGGCGCTTGCGCCCAAACGGGCAGCGGCCACACATTGATTTGCACCTTTACCTCCAAATCCCGTTTCAAATTTATCAGCGTGTACAGTCTCGCCCGTCTTTGGAAAACGATTCACATAGCTACGAAATAAACGACTTCAAATTCAATATGCGCTTTCGCAATTCTTACCAAATATTGTCCACATTTACTGAACCGTAACTCACTACGTCCATACTGTTCTCATCTTCCATCTTTAATGTGCTATATGCAAATATAATGTGGATAATTAGGAAGGAAGAATGATAAGCGACAATTTGTAAATGCTTACGAATCTAAACAACAATAACAAGAACAACAGCGAAAAGGAAGACTAAATTTATGGCTTTGCTTGAACAATAAAAATAGAAAATAAAATGACTTTTTCATTTTTTTATTAAGTTGTTTCATTCTTTAAGGTTCACACAAACACACACACACAAATTGATTCGTTACCTAAATAATTATTCACAATTTTCCAAAAATTTTCTTTCGATGTGTTTCAAACGAAACGTACCCGTTGCATGTTCAAAAAGTCCAAAATTGTTCAGAATCTGAAGTATTTATAAATTTTTAAGATTCGCTAAAAATAATATTTTACTCCAACACATACTTGTATTGTATTTGATAAGATAAAATCTAGTTATCACTTCAAGTCGACTAATATCGTAAGAAGCAAATAAATCAATTTTTGTTAATTCAATACATTTAGGTCGTACCAATTTTATATATATGAAATTTTATATAATTATGGAACCATGTATGGCTGTCTGGAAGGAAAAACGAAGATCGCATGTGAATTGCGCTAGCAAGAAAAAAAAAAAAAAAAAAATGGATGACACATTTGTAAGTGAAATCGCGCTAATGCTAAGAAAAACAGCTGTCGGCGCATTCCGAGAAGAAATCGCTGAACATTGAAAGTGTCAAAAGGATCTACAATCAAGACCTACCTGCAAAAAATACAAATCTAATCGCACTAATTGCGCACTACAAAGCCAACATGACATGAAAGCGGCCAAAATTGTCTTGACTATCATATTTTCTTGAAAACAATACTTTCGAAGAACTAAAAGATTCATTATATTATTTAGAAAACCATTATCCATTGTACGCTTCTCGCAAAAGCAATTAATTGCGGATGCGTCTCCTTGGCAAAATATAAATCATATTTGTCGCCAAATTATCATAATCATTAGGCAAGCTAAAATGCCCGAGACTGTCTGACTAATGGAATATGTGAACTAAAAAAAAAAAGGAAAGCAATTTTGTTAAGCTTTCTCAAGACTTTCAAGACGATTTTCATTGCATCGAAATGGGGGGAAAGACATCTTATGAGCGTGTACTGTGTACCTTTCGCAAATGTGAACATGAGAAGGAATTCCTGCCATTGGCATTACTATAAACAACATTTAGAGACAGACATGTTGAAGTAGGAAGATATCGTAAGTTAACATTTCAACTCGTACCGCCACCAAATCATTGCTTCTTCCTCTTTCAATTGGAAAATTTATTTTCATACTATTATAACATGATTACAAAAGTAACCAAAGAGGAGGAGAAGAGATCAATTTATTAGCAATTAAGCAGTTAAATCCATCGGGTTTTTCTCATTGTACATTTTTTGTCGTAAGAAGAGCAAGGAAAGCATTTGCAATCGCCTTGGGCATCTCATGTTTATGAAGTTGATTGATTTCTAAGTGCTGCAAACAGAACAGCGAACCTAATAGAATCGAATAGGATTGCAATAAGCTTTTCTTTGCGCAACGTTACTTCAAATGAGATATTTGGCTTGTAAGATCGAAAGAGAAATTTCTTCGCTTCGTAGACGTCTTATGCGGCGTCATAAACGTCATCGTATTATATTATAGAACGTAGATCGCATTATATTGACAATTTGACTTGTACCGTATAAATAATGACATAAAGCGCGCACTTGTTTCTTTTCATGACTTGATAAATAATTAGAAACCCCTTTGCATATTTTAGTAAATTTCTTAAGTAAGCATATGGAATTTAACTAATAGAAAGTGATTGTGTAAATTTGAAGATGTCTATCAAGCATAGCCAGACAATTTAGAAATATATATATATACATATATATATTGATTTTAGAGGATTCGTAAAAGAGATTTTGTTAAATTTATTGAAAGCATTATGAAAATTATGCATCTAAGAGTGCCAAAGACAAGAATAAAGATTTCATTTAGTATCATCCCATCGATCTTTAAATTGGAATTGTTGAAGCCAATGTTATTTTTTTGTCGTTTTTCCTCTATTTAAGGCGAAAGTGCAATTAGAATGGTGTTAGAGCGGACTGTTAGCGAAAGAGTCCCTATTGCCAACAAAGCGATTACACAGATTACACAGAAGATTGCAAGCGCGGCAAAGTAAGTCACAGTGGAAACCATTTATATAAAGTTTTAGAGAACCTGTGTGTCATCAATTGAAGGGTATACTGATATACGGTTTTACGACAGGCGGGCACGAGCTGATCATGACCACGTTCATATAAAGGCTTTCGGCCGACCGACTTTTAAAAAGTTGATTTAAATATTACTTATTAATAAAAGATTACTGTTTTTGCTCGTAAAGCGAACGTTTTAATTCAATCAATTCGATATTGTTAGAATAATGCAATTCCCCGGCCCCCATCCGACTCGTTTAAATATATTCCGATTTGCAATGGACACGGAGAGCGTCGGGCTATGACTTGGATAAGTTGGAAAGAAAAACATGAAAATAAGCAGGGATTATAAGGCTCTCAATACCCCAGCAATCTGTTCAGTTACGCCTCCCATTTTATGTTTAGCATTCGATTAATCGGAGACTTAACTAAATTCAGATGGGGTTTTCGCATTCATATAAATGTTCGAGTGTACTTTAGCATATTTACCCTTTGCCCTTCGTAAACGTAATGAATTGAACGCACTTAATATCATTGGATAAATGATTGCCAGGTCACGGGAAAAGTTCTGGAAAAATTAGTTTCTTTAAGTCTAATTTAGTAAAACTTTATTGAAAATTTTTGTCAATACCGTTAACACATTTCATATGCTTGCAAGTGTATGTATGTATGTATTTATGTATGTATGCGTGGATGCATGCATGCTTTTGTGTGTGTGTGTGTGTGTGTGTGCATGCACTACTATTACCATTAATACAATTGATATAATCGTAACTAAACAGATTAAATAGGGATTTTTAAACGGGAGGAAAAAAGAGCAACGCATACAGATTTTTTTTTTTTTTTTTCTTGTTTTGGCTTTTTTTTTCTTTTTTTTTTTTTTTAACTCGATATTAACAACACAATGCATAAATATTATAATTATATGTATACATATATATATATATATATATTACAGTAAATATATATATATATATATATATATTACAGTAAAAAAATAAAATCTACAATTAAGATTACAGGTAATAGAACTAATCAGAGAATTTTTTGATTAAAACAACGAATGCGCATACATACAATAAATGAATTCTTGTAATTTCAAACTAAAAAAATCTGTTGTGTACGGTCGTCTTGATTTGTACGGCACAGAGCCGATTCCATCTGGCATCTATGTGTTGTGTACAGCCTTTTACACTATATAAATGTAAAAAAAAAAAAAAAAAAAAAAAAAGAAATCCTTAGATCTTAGTTTCGCATAGCATACACTGCAACAGTAAAATTATTGAAAGACAGAAGAGAAAAACTTGCCCGAACTTATACATTATTTGTTCTTATGTAAAACAATTTCATCCGTCTGGGCTCTTTTGTGTGTGCACTGGTATGCATTTATGGTATAAATTCATGTATTTATATTATGCATATGTTTTTCTATACATATATCATATATTTATAACTTAGTCCCTAAGTATCCGTACGAAAGGTATCCTTATTTTAGAGTGCTTCGTAATAATTCTAACAAATGTTTTATGTTGTGTTGCTCTTTGTATAAGAGAAGAGAAAAATGTTTCTTGTGTTGCTCTTAGAGCGATTGGAAACTAAAAAGTATTTCCAATTCTACTGCACTGTTGTCGCTTGTTCCACAAATTCACTTTGTAACGTAAGAACGTCAACAATCTGGAGCAATATTTCAATTTCATCGACTGAGTTTATAGCACTCGGTGCGGCCATCAATTTAACATTTTTCCCTTCGATGTTGGTGAAAAAGGTTTTATTCTTGAATATAACTGCACGATCATATGGCAGTCGCGACTTCTGACGATCGTTTACTGCTCTGCGAAACATTACACATGACGGTTGATATTTGGCGCGATCTTCTTCCGCTATATTGTGCTCCTGTAGGTCCCCGGTGTAGGTGATAAAGGTTGACTTTGCTAATGTCGAGGCTGGTAGCTCTTGCAATGTTACTTTAGAGCTCCAACTAATCGAAGGCAATGGTATACCTTTGGAAGCATTAGCCAATTTAATTAGCGGAAGATTAAGTTGATTCCGTGTCGGTCGCGGGGATTCAAGAGAGTCATTTGTTACATTAATCACGTACCAGGTCTCAAAGCAAGTAATTTTTTTGATAATTTTATCGCCCTGACGTGAAATGACTACCTTCTCAGGCGAAAGTTTGCGTGGCAGAACAGGTGTGGATGTCTTAGTGGCAACTTTTTGCTGATTCACAACAGCCAGAGAATTCTCTTTAGTAGACGTGGAAGATTGTGCTGCCATTATTCGCTTTTTATTACCGACTGCGACTGGTGCTTTAACCGCGGCCTGTTGTTTTCGTTTTGCTAAATAGGTAAAGTTCCTTGATGTTCGATTTTGTGCTTCGCGTTCAACCTGAGGCTCAGAATCTTCGGTGCCAACATTAACAATAGGCACATTTAGTTGCTTATTAATTTCTCTAGATTTACTTTCAGCTTCATCTTCTGTATCATCAAGTGAGAGAGGTATGCTCTCATCGGCGGAATCATCTAAATTTGCTATTAAAGGTTTGACAGGTTGCGTCTTTTTCGCTACCATGGCATTTAGAATGCGCGGTGCAGGTTTATCAGGTAATATGTTAGTGGATGACTTTGTTAACGCTCCCACTCGCGAATTACGCAAACCTAATTTGTGATTAAGTATATGAGGTTGTGTGGTAGTAGTAGATTTCCGACTTGCATCGACTGTTGAACGATTTAATCCAGATAATTTGTGTTCGCAACTTTCCACTGACTTTTTCTCAGATTGTGAAAATTTTATTGAAACTTCTTGCACGTCATCGTCGTCTTGTTTATTACCATTTTCATCGTCGTCATCGTCGTCAGTTATTGCAGAGAGTGTTTTCTGCTGAATACCCTTTGATTTTGTTATTAACACATCGCCCTTCTTATTAATGATATCGTTTACATTTACTATGGTAAATGTAGGCATGGTTTCAAAGTCATCAATTGTTGAATTTGGAGATTCCTCTGTAGCAATTGGTGATGTCTTCTCTCCGAAAGCGGTTGTAGTTGCCGGAGAGGTCGAGGCCACCATATAATTTGAATCTGATTGAGAATTTTTATTTTGCACTTTGCTAACAGTAATATTTGCTTTCTTTAATTGCGCCGCTATTGTGGGTTTTGTTAGAGGGGAGCTGGTGTTGTTGCTACTGTTGCTACTCGAAGCGGTCGTGGGACTATCTTTGTTATGGGGTTTAGGAGAACCTGTTCTCATTTTACTAGCTGCTGCTGTAGCCCTTGCCGCTAATATTTTAGCTTGTGTTGTAGCTACAGAAATTGAAGAACCAGCATTTGAAACGACCGTCTTGCTATCTGAGTTTGCAGCTGATACCGCCGTTTTTCCAGGCGTCGATCTAATCAAAATTCGACTTTCGGTCGAAGCCTTGGGTGTATCCGCGAATTGTTTTTTTTGTTTGCTTGTCAAAGAAACGTTTGATGCTTGCGCATTCACCACTTTACTGCCGTTTAGGGTTTGCGATGACGCTGGTAAGATCTTGCGTATTATTCTAGTATTGCTGGTAGACGCCGCTAACGTAGCCGAATTGTCTTTTGTATCTCTTGAAGGCACACTAACACGCACGCCACCAGAAGTAATAATCATTTGTTTACGAGCTACAGTTGGCCGACTTTCTCCGTCATTATCTGTTGAGTCTTCGAGTTTACGTTTTTGTCCTCCTAACATGTTTAAATTTCGTTGAGCATTAGCTGTTACCAACGATCGGCGAATTTGTTGCAAATGAGATGGGGCGGAACGAACGCTAGTTATCGTTGTCTGCGCTATTCTACCAACTGATGTCATCGGTGCAGTAGACTTCGCCGCAGCCTGCAACTGCCCCTGTGTTTCAGGCGGCACCACCTTACGAGGTCTTCCCCTGCCTCTTGTTGGACGTGGTACCCGTTCAGCCTCTGAGAAATCAGAGTCCACGGCCTCCTTCTCATCAGCTTGATACGCTTTGTCGTCGGATGCATTATCATCTTCATCGTTCAATTCAGCCGTATCGACTTCATCACTTGAGTCGCGATTGAAAAAATCGTCAGAACTGGAAGATGTTCTGCGTTGTTTACTCTCTGTGACGCCTATTAATGATTTACTGCCAGATGCAAACGATCCTACGTTCCTTATCAATTTGGGTGTGAGCAGGTCTTCGCTAGCATATTTCGGATTAGGTTTAATAGCTCTACGTGATCTGCCAGCCGCTATGGTCGGTGGTGGACTCTCTTCATGATCTTCCGATGATCTCTTCATAATACGCTGAACTATTTTCACTTTTTGACTGGCGCGCACATTGGATGACATGTTTGGTTCTTCTCTTTGTTGTTGTTGCTGTATTGATTGTGAGCTGCCAATTGGCCGCTTCTTCAATGGTCCTCTATATTTTTTATCGTCTTGTAATGTAGCCTTAGGAGTACCTCCCATACCAGCCAAACTTAAACGAGTGACCCTACTGCTCGTAGGCTGACTAATAATAGATTGCCGTTTTGAAGATGTTGCCGAGGATGAAGATTTTTTATTACCTTTGTTTGAATTCAATTTTTCTAATCGCACTACGCAGGAACGAGTCTTTTTTGCTTCTACGACGTTGGCTTTCTTTCCAACACGCATTTTCTTACATAGGTGCAATTATGATCTGAAAATAGTAGCAATCCGTGTAAAAAATATCAGAAATAATACTTTATTTATGGACTTATAAAAATTAGAATGAAAATCTAACGTTGGCAACCCAGATTCGAAAAAATTTGTCAGATATTGGCGGGAATCAATCAAAACAAATAAAATTATACTAATTTATAAAAAAAAAAACAAATCTTTCACCTTTTATGAGCATTTTCTTTAAATTACAATAAAGAGCAACGTTTTTCGTCATTTATCCATGCCGAGAGACACAATAATATTTTTGCCCTACTGTACGTACACACATACGTATCCCGAACCAATACCATACACGTATATGAAAATGTAGCGCGAACTATATATGCTGCAATCCCAAGGTATTACTGGAGCTTGTACACTTACGTTATTTAACTTAGCGTGATTATTGCTTCTTTGCGATTTTTACAAATTTGAGGAAACATTTATATAAGTGGCTATGGTACGATCCAAAAAATAAAAACCTATAATTTTATGTTTTTCCAACAAAACTATATTTCGTGCTTTAGCTCGACGGAGAGATTAACGCCAAAGTAAGGTCAACACAACTCTGTCAAAAGCCAGTTATGGGAATTTAATTAGTTCACTGCAACACGAAACACTTTAACTTGAAATTGTCTTATTTTTTTCAATAACTTGACAGCTATATGCTTTAATTTTTTATATTTTTTCGCAGCAATTAGAATAGAAATATCAACGACAAACGACGTAGGCCAAACGCTTGACAATTTGCTAAGCAGCGGAGAAATGAGTGGTAAATTTCTATTCAGCACTACAATCTGATAGAGGCCTTTGAAAGAGAAAAACCATTTGTCGTATGTATCGTTAATATGGCGTCGATTTGACAGTTTTCTCTAAGCAAGTTGTAAGAGTGAAAGCGACAACTCTATATATTCTATTGTGTGGTGAATATTATAGCAATAATGTAAAAGATTAACAAAGATTTTGCGGATATAAAATTTATTGGTCTTAATCAGTTACAATTTCTACCAAAAAATTGAACAGACGCAACTCTTGCAAAAAATGGCGGATTTCGCATAACTATACCTATAAAGTACACAAAAGGTCTTTCCTCTTTTCAGATGGGGGCGAATTATTTGTCAATTGTATTTTCAATTAGTAAATGCTAAAAGAATGAGATCTACTCTTATTTGTATTCACACATAAAGTAAAAACTTTAAAAGATTTAATTATTAACTTTATATTACTATTTTTTTCACAATATCTGCATATCAGCAATAGCATATTGAATTAAAATAAGTGCAATACGATCGCATTAAAAGAAAAAGTTTATGTAAAAGAAGACCAACTACATAAGGAAGTAGGAATAAAATTTGGTTAGTATTTTTAGAAAATCCTATAAATATGTTTTTGCGTGGAACGAAATACCGCTGGCAACACTGTTAGAATTACTATGAGTTTTGTTTTCTTTATTGCAATTGCTTAGAGATATTGTTACCAAAATGTCTGGTTGCGCTTGTATTGAAACTATATATAAAGAGCTTAAAACCGATTTTAATAAAAAGCCGCAAAATCTAAAAAAGTGCGGTCAATCGTTGGACAAATTAAAGGTACTATAAAAAATAACCTTAAAAAAACGTCTTTTCATTGTTATGTTTACTTTTATGTCACTAGATTGCTCTAACCAAGTTGGCATTTTTGCCTACCAAAGATGTCAAGTCATCCAAATCTGAAATGATTCTTGCTAGAGATGTTTTGGAAATAGCCGTAGAATACAGTGTAGCCACTAAGGATATACCAGCTTTTGAAAGATACATGTCCCAATTGAAATGCTACTACTATGATTACAAGTAAGTCTACCAATATGTTTTGAATCGTCGAATTTAACAATTTCAAACATTTTAGGAAAGTAATCGGTGAATCGAAGAATATGTTTAAATTGTTGGGTCTGAATTTATTGTTCTTACTTTCCGTCAATAGAGTTTCAGAATTTCACACTGAATTGGAGCTTTTGTCGGCCGATATTATACATACTAATGAATATATCGGTCCGATTCTAGCTTTGGAACAGTATATTATGGAGGGAAGATATAATAAAATTTTCCAAGCCAAGGTTTTGTCTAATACTCAAAAATCGCATTGTCAGAATGATATTAATTTTTTTATGCAGAGTTCTGCTCCGTCGGAGATTTACAATTATTTCATGGACATACTGTTATCCACTGTTCGTGACGAAATCGGTGCTTGCATTGAAAAAGCTTATGATAAAATCTCCATGCTAGAAGCTGCCAAACGATTGAATTTAAAAACATCTGAAGAAATGAAAACCTATGGAAAGAAACGCAATTGGCTACTGGATGCAAACGGTTTTTATAACTTTGTGGACAAATCTACAAAGGCAAAGGAGATATTGCCATCCGTGGAATTGGCTGAACAAGCCATCTTCTACGCTCGAGAGTTAGAAATGATTGTTTGATTTCCCAAAGCATAAAAATAAATATATATGTATGCGTTTTATAAGAATTTTATTTTACTTAATTTCGTTTCAAAATTTCATCTTATCCCACTTGATCGAACCCAATCAACAATCGCCTTATTTTTTTAAAGCTGACGGTTGGGGGCATCTATATTTCGCCATTTCCACTTCGGCTTCGGCATAGCTATAACGGTTGAAACAGAAATATTCTGGTACTTTATATTCCGCGTTATGTGCTGCCCCTGGCCCAACAGGACTGCTTGCAGGTTTAACACAGTTATTGGACAAACCTTTTACGTTACTTAAACCTGGAGATGTTGATTGAATTATTTGCGTATAGAATCGCACAGCAGTTCTACAATAAACTTGTGGTTTTCTCAGCATTATTTATAGTTTTTACTTTTACTCAAATTCGGTTTAACTCACGTAATAGTGAATAATGACTTATTGTCAAAGAAAAGAAAAAAATATTTTGACAATATTAGCTAAAACAGGGTTGTATCAAAATCAAAACAATCATATGTCAAATTACAAATTTGTAGAATTTTTATACATTCAGAAATATCTTTCATTTTTGCTTAAATTTAGATCCTACGCTGCCGTAACGCTCATCAATAGATGTAACAGGCAGCCGCCTTTTCTGTTGTTTTTCAATTTTACTTTTATTACGGCATTTGACGGAAGATAGTCCAGTTTGGTTTTTGCCTAATTGATGAAACTTCCGGCGTTCCTCTCTAATTTGTTTAAGCCGATTCCGTTCCGCTAAAAATTCTTTGTAATTCTTGTAAGGCTTCTTTGGTGGTTTTGCTCCTAAATCGACTAAATGATATATCATCATTTTTTTCCGATTTTTCTCGGCTCGTTGATTATTCATCGCAAATTTAAGCACTTCATGCCGAGCACGTTTTATATCAAATTCATTTCTTCTTTTTTCTTCATCGTTACTAACTTGATTGCGCACGACCTGCTGTGACTTACGCTTAGGTCCTTCAAATACCAAAGCTTCGAACTCTTGATGCTTTTTTGGCAACATCAAAGCTGCCTTTGTAAGAACGGGTTTGATATTCGTATCTACATTCATTTTGTGAACGCAATTATTTATCTATCTACTCACGCGAACATTACTAAGGCTTATAATTATTAAAGATGAAAACTTATTCGCTTGGTTGATACCAAACATATTGATATTAGCAAACTTTAATGAATGTGAACATAACAAACTGAGTAAAAATATGAAACTTAAGCAAAAACGTTATATATTTTTTAACAAATTAGGTAAATTTTAGCTTTTTTTGATTATCATGGAATTCATTAACGGCGGTTCAAGTTTACAGTGATAATTAAAGAATTTTGCTCTTAAAAATTTGAAAAATTCAATTTTTTGGCAATGTATTGCAAATTATCTATGTATAGATTTTTAACAAATTTTGGAGAATTTTATGTAGTTTTTTTCGATATCTAAACTAATATGCTAAACTTGAACAAACAAAATGTTGTTTAAACTTCATGAAAGGATAACGTATGGTAGCGTTATATAGAGAGAAAGTCTGTTAGTTTTCTTTTTTTAGACATAACATTTGTTGCTAGTTATTGCATATTACAATTTTCAAAATAAGCAACATGCAATAACAATATGAATAAACGTTTACGGAAAGATTTGAGCAGATATCGAACCATAAAATTTAAATGAAAACAAGTAAACTGTCAGGCAACTGTTAAACAGTCTACACTATTTCGCTTTGTAAATTCATTAATTTTCGTGGCAATATTCCGAAAAGAAGTCATTATTTTTATATAAGATTACTTTATACTTTTCATGAAAGTCCTAAAATAAAAGATGCTGAAAACGTTAACTAACGTGGTCAAAATTTAGTGAACTTAATTTAGTTATCTAAGATTTTATTATTTTTCAATAGTTTTCGTCATAACTACTGGAAGATTTTATGGCCGTACAAGGGCTCACTTCTTGTGAAAGCTCCTATACATACTCCTATAAATTCTTAATGGTTAATGCTTAGGCTACATTGCCGCTGTGGACCAGTTTTCGTCATAAAAGTTTATACATTGGACCTTTTTACTAAATGGCTTGCTTTACTATTCATGAGAATAATGTATCCATATGGCTTGCATTTAATCCAGTTAATTTTTATGTTAATTTAATATTATGGAAAATTTTTTATCAAAAACATTAAAAAGTAGACCTTTCTGACATATGAGGCTTTATATATCAAAATTAGGGGTTTTTACTATATAAAGATTCAGTTTCCGTAAAAACGGATTCTTGGCGCGAAATACGGGATATTACATTATTTTCTCGTATAACGACGGGAACGCAGTCAAAAAAGTGTTGCGAAATTTCATCGAAGTATCTTAAAAATTGTGACCTATAGGTTAAATACAAGAATAAATGGATAGAGTTAAAGAATATAAAAAAGAGGAAAATTTCGTTCGTAAGAAATTTTATGCTTCTGTAGAAAATTATTATTCATTATTTAAGCTATATGCAGCCATTTCATCAAAATTTTAAAATAATATGATATCATTGTTCATTGTCTCTCTAGACTGATTTGCTCTCTTACGAAAATGGAATAGGAACGCTTTTGCGCTATACTGGAAGACTTGTCTTGAAAATTTCACGCAGTGTTTGACTAATAAATAGAAGTGTCTACCCTTTACTACCTGTAAAAACTCAAATTTTAAAACTTATTAAATAGCATTTGCTATTGTAATAATTAATCAAAAAAAAACAAAAAAAAAAAAAAAAAGGAAAAATGGCCGGTGTACAAAATGAAATCGGCGACAGCGACACTATAAAAAACGAAATATCTAAAGAATTACGCGATAAAGCAAACGAGTTCTTAAACAATAAACTTAAAGCTAACAATCTAGTAGACATTGTGGTATATTTAGAGGTAGCGACATGTACAAGCAAATTTTATTTGCACTTAAATAACCGCAATTTTTGCAATTTACAGGTATGTCTTAATAATAAGCAACCAATCATTCCTGGTTTATTAACATTAGAAGTGGTCTTCACTGAACTTTTGAAAAGGAGAGACTTTTGTGAAAATAAAAACGCCTTAGATGGTAAAGTGCAAACAGCAAAGTCTGAAGCGTTAATTAAATATTGCGCTTGGTTAAGAGAACGTTATGAAGATTCTATGGCACTTATGTTGAAGGCTATAGATTCTGAGAAGGAATTTGAGAGCGTACAAGCTTTATCTAGTTGCATGAAATTGTTGGCAGCCGAAGGAAAATATCCCCTGGATGGCGCAGAAGCTCAATTCCCTCAATTACGTTTACACAATATTCTTCAAAAACTCCTTTCGGTTGACCGTTTGCATTTGAATACTATCCAACATTTAAAAGATTATACCGTAAATGTGGATTTTGTACAATATTGTTGGCGACTATTGCAACACAATTTATTAAAAAAGTCTACATTAAAGCATGAAACTTTTGCTTTGAACTTTCTGGAATTAATACACACGTTGCCGGTATCCAAAGAGCTATTTGAACAAAATAAACGTTTATGCCCTTTCCCGGAAAAAGCGTTGCCCGCTTATGGTGCAACACGAAAGCATATCAATAAAGTGTGGAACAATTTAATGCAATGTGTGGGACCAGACATGTTGGAAATCGTGCATAAGAAACTATTAATCATACTTTTAGAAAGGATATTACCACATTTAGACAAACCCATTTTACTAACAGATTTTCTAATGGATTCTTTAGATTGCGGTAAGCAGAAATTTAAAATATATGCAATGGAAATGCTATTTATAAGCTTTTGTTATCGATAGGAGGCGCCGTTTCACTTCTAGCTTTGCAGGGAATGTTTACATTGATTCAGAAGCACAACATAACTTACCCGAATGTCTATGAAAAATTGTATTCCATGTTTGAACCCGAAATATTCCACACTAAATTCAAAGCTCGCTTATTCTATTTGGCTGATATTTTTTTGAGTTCGACACATTTACCTGAAGGATTGGTTGCAGCATTTGTTAAGCGTTTAGCACGTTTGAGTATTGTTGCTCCACCACAAGACGCCGTTATTATATTGTATTTCATTGGAAACTTACTGATGCGTCATACCGGATTAAAAAGATTGATATGTGCCCCAAACGAAGTTGAAGGTAAGTACCATTTTCCGTTTATTCTCCGTTATCTCGAGAGTGAATCGCTTTTGCTTAGTATCTCGTGATCCTTACGTAATGGAAGAGCGTCAGCCAGTGAAGGCAAATGCTTTGGAAAGCTCTTTGTGGGAGATTGTCGCTTTGCAAAAGCATGCGCTACCAACGGTTGCAGCAGCTGCCAAATTTATCATGCAACCTCTGCCCAAAAACGAATGGGACTTGTCTTCAGTCTTAGAAATAAAAGAGGACGATGTAAGTCTTTGGAGTCTTATTATATTTTAGCTAACACCAGGTTTTCTCGCAGATTTTTGACCAAGAAATCAGTAAAAGATCCAAACAATATGCGATGGCTATTGAAAAGTCGCAAGCACTATTCCTGCCAAAAAATGATTTATTTCAGCAAAATTGGTGCCTGATCTAAACTGTTAGCCAATAATAAAAATATTTAAAAAAATTGTTATTTATAGCCTGGAATCTTTAATTTTTTGAGAAATTTGTTACAATGTTTATATAATAACAATAAAAATAATAATAATATGGAACATTTCATACTAAATTGTTTTTGAATACTTTATTTATAGTTTTAAAGCTCGACAAGTTCTTCCTTAGCAAAATTTGTGCCGAACAAAGTGTTACAAGCTACTGCGGCCACATTACGACGCGCTGTCTTTTTAGAACGTCCTATAGCGACGAATTCTTGATTGTCGACTACCACGCCCATAGATTGCATCACATTTGGCTTCTCACCAACTTTGCCTTTTTCGGTATAAGTAATACCCGGTCTCATCTTATAACGAATGATATATTATAGAGCAGAATGTAGGGGACTTGTTTAAAATTTCTAATCCTTACCACACATAATAATGAAGCCGGGTGCATAGATTCCCAATTGGTGGGCAATTCATTACGTATAGGAGCCTTCTTTGGTTCTTTTACCACCACACTTCCTTCATTGTCACTCGTGTTACCTTGCGATGGATGCATTTCCGGTATAACAAAGCCTTCACTTTCCCACTCCGAAAATAACTTATATAAAGCAAATGACGCCAAATTGACCATGGGCACGTCGTCAACCGGATCGACTTCTTTATTTTGACCATCAACTTTTTCATTGCTTTCATTTGCGTCGTTAGTGTCCATTGGTTCATTACATAACGAAGAGGTGGTGCTCATATTTCCACTATGTTTAGTTGATCGCGGATTTTGGCGCATTTTAGCTATTATGTAGTCACGCAAAGCCTTTTCACAGGCATTGTTCTTTGCGGCCATTTTCGAATTACCACGTCCTTCATACTGATTACCGTTAACAGTTACCACAGTAACAAAACCTCCATTCGGATTATTCGTAATCGTAAATTCACCAATTGTAATGCCCTTGACTTCGTTCAAAGCCATCAAGGCGTTCTTCGGTATAATCGTTTTACGCAATCGACGATTTTGAAGAACACGTTTCTCCTTAGCGCGAACTGAAACGTGAGTACGAAAGTAATATTTTTATGTATATAAAAAAAAAAAAATTATTTAAAAAGAAATATGAATTTTTGAAACCTTCGCTTTTCGAGCTTTTAATAAAACTGAGGATCCAAAAGCAGATTTGGATTCCATTTTACGCATTACTCGGACATTTTTACTCGCACACGCTTCTATTTTGGTTCTTATTTAAAAGTTGCTTCATAAGTTTTTTAACAAAAATTATCGCAACAAGTTTGTCAAATTTTGAGTGCTGTAGAGCTGAAGCAAACCGCTAAATAAGTAAACAACAACGTGTCCGAATTAAGAAGATTAAAAGGTTCAATAGTGATTTCAAACTTGGACCACACTATTGTTTGGAATACATTGCGGGTATGCCTTTTTCTTCAAATTTGATCTTGTGCAGTCCAGGCCAATCAGTTAAGCATTTACCTGAAGCTTTCTTGCGGGTTAAAAAAAGTCTCTTAAATCTGATTTTTCCGTTTTCATCAACCATGCCGTTATCCAAACAGAAATTATTTCCTTTATCATCTCCGGCGGCTACTACACTTTGCGAAGCTATATCATGTTGTATGGCGGCTTCGTGTTGCCCAACCTGTTGTTGAGTTCTTGGTGACGTTACCGGTTCAATTTTTACAGGCTTATGAATCTGCAGTTGCGATTGAGGGTGTGGCTGCGTTGAGGAAGCACTCAGTTGAGCTTTAATGGTCTGCGCTTGTTGCGGTGATATTTGTTGTTGCACTTGCTGCTGCCTTAACGTGGGCGCGCTGGGATAAGTCTGGTTTTGATGCTGAGATTATATCAAAATTGACAATTCATTTCATCATTATTATCAGAAAATACTTTTCAGTATGACTTTTTATACTTATACTAATATGGGCTAATAAGAAATTACCAAAACTTTGCAAACTCATGCTTTCTTATCGTACTAGGTGCGATGATTCGTATCCAAAAAGAGCTGTAGTTGGCTGAATTCGCATGCACAGCAGGTATTGGTTACATTTTAGCGGTACAAAAACCTTAGTTTAGGAATAGCTATGAACATCTATATAGCCAATACCCAAACGTAATAATATACTATTTTGCATTATCTTGAAATAATGGCGACATAAATATAATTTCTTAACTTATGTCATCCGAATTATTTAATTCTTTATTCCCTAGACTGTACTAGACTATATATAAAGTTCTGTACAAAATATATTCTGGATACAATGTCTGAGGGATAAAGAAGTTTTTTCATTTTTTGTTTTCCACATAAATATAATCTCCCTTGTCTTTATTTTTATTATTTTTTTTTATATTCTCGTAAAATTATTGACTGTTATCGTTTCAATGACTCATCTTTTAAAATCAAGATTAGCTGCACAAATCTATTTACTTAATGCTGATGGATTCGTTCGTAAAAAAGGCAAATATGGAACGGAATTAAGCGTCTGCCCACAAGAGCATTGCACGTTCTAGACTATTATAAATTTTTTTTTAATTTCACCAAACAAGCAAAATAAAATATCACTTTAACGTGGTTAATTTCATTAATTATGCTTTAAGATGGCCCGAATAATTATTTGAACCGAATTTTATATTCATCAGATGACTGCAGACGAAAGTGGATTGACACATTTGTCTCCGAGATGGGATTTTTGCCTTTGTTAACGGAAATGATACTAGAGATACTAGAGATACATGATTTTCGCAATTGACTCAATAATGTAGGCATCAAGTTCCAAGCACGTATATCAACTGGCATGAGCATTTCCTAACGCCGAGTTGCCCAAATAATCTGATAATACTAAATCAATTCGCTTTTTATTTTTAACTGGAATTAGACTCATTCTACGTCTCAAAAAAAAGGATAGTGAATCCTAATACCATTTTGTCGTGTTGAGTACACAGAAATCACCCCCAAGTCAATATGTTTCACCAAATAAGTTTCACTTCCCGCAACTAATGGCGAACTCATTTCCGTAGTACATATAAAAAGCGAGGTATCGCCCTGTATGACATAAAATGCTTCATCAGACAATTTATAATGGATTTGTAAAATTTTTTTTCGGTTTTTCTCTTAAGTATTCGTTTAGGTATTTAGCCAAATGAAAATGTACATAACTATAAAACACAAAACTAATAATTTAAGCAAATGTTTACATAGAACAGTTTCCAATAATCGAGCAAAAGCGCTAAAAAGTCCTACAGTAAAATCCAATGGACACAAATAAGATTTTTTGTTATAACCAAGCGAGCTCTAAAGACTCCCGATGTAATCGGGAAATGATCTTTGATTCTCTTTCTTTCGTTATAACAACTGCAGACTTAAGATAGATATTAACGCTTCTAAGGATTATTGAAAAAAAGTCTAAGATATTGATTTTTTTAATACAATTGTTATTTTATAATCATAAACTTTTTCGCTGTAAATTGTAAAAGAAATAAAATGAAAATATGTTAATTTCTCTGCAATATATATACGTACGTCTATACACACATATGTACATTAAGACAATTAATTTAGAAAAATTAATTCGATACTAGACTTTCGCTCTGCTTAATTTACAACATGTAATGAAATTCACAAAATTGCAATCATGAAAAACTTACATAAACACCGCCAGAAACAAATGGCTTATTGCCTCCAACAATAATACGTTTCGGCCGATTCATTTTTATTTATTTTATATCAATTCTTATAATTTAAAAACGCAAAGCTATTTTCACACGGTCTTTCTCAAATGATGTGAAAAATGTGTATAATAAAATTTGAGTTAATCACCACGAATACCGATAACTAATTCAAATATAGTGATGCTATAACATGAAATAGTGGTGGTGAACTTTATTGACAGAGTTGACTTAAGTGGACAATTGGATGAAAAGAGTAGAAAATTAATACCTTTTTTAGATCGTAACGTTGACAGAGATTTTCGCAGTAACTTTTAAACATATATAATATATATTTGCACAACCATGATAGACTTTAAAATATTGCAAGAATGACTCAACATATTTATGATTCGTTATATAAAATTTAAGATCAGTAATTCATATTACACAAATGTGGGCCTTATTTTAAGTGGTAGTTTAAGTAAATCTATGGTCACGTATGGACTACTATTTTTGAGGTATTTAATACTTAGTGACAACATACAGAAGTAAGGTTTTTGTCCCACTTTATATAGAATACCAACAAAAACGATCTCGAATAGAATGAACATTTTTGACTCGTCGGCCCAGTAGGCCGTAAGTCCCGATTAACAACTCAATGGCCGTGGGTGTAAATCTCAAGAACGGGAGGATTTTCAATAAAGCCGATAGCTTTAGATGCTATAGTCAATAAAATTTTATACAATAGCGTACCATATACTCCGTAGTGAGTAGCTTCATTTTGCATCTACAGTCTTCCTTGTTCATTTTGTTGGTTTACTAGAGCCATATGTTAACAGTTAAACTACGCAATGCACTGCGGCACTAGTGCTTTAAGACTTTTGTTTTAGGATTTATTCTTAATTAAGTTTCACTTTGGAAAACACACAAACACATAAATGGGCATAAATGCTTTTTTTTAGTCTAAGAATTTATTTCATTAGTCTACAACTACAATAATAATAATAATATATTTCAACAAATCGTTTTTACTTTTTGCATCTTATGTTCTTTTTGTTTTATTGGTTTGCTTAAATACATAAAAGTTCATATGTAATTTGCTAGTAAAAAGTTTCATGGTCGAAACGCTTGCAAATTTCTATGCGTACATTTTCAATGCGTTAAACTTGAATTTCAATCCAGACATGCAAGCACCACTTCGTCATGATTTCGACCACAAATGGATTTTAATCACACCACTAAAAAAATAATTAGAAGGCCTGAGCATATAAGTAGTTGTTAGCATAATTTCATACTTGTGAATAAGTTTGCTACTATTATTACAGGAATTTTCAAACTGTTATGCATTATTTTTCGTCATTTGCAAATTTTTTACGACGAAATTATTTTTTGGGTTTTGTAGTGGTCCAGTCTACGTATTCCCTTTTTTAAGTTGCCTGTTTTGCAATGTCACGTTTTTTATCAGTACTTTTCACCAGTATACTTTTAATTTCGTTTCTGTCAGACTGAATGGCAACACTACTGCCCAACAGTTTTCTACGTCAGTTCATACAAAAATATACATTAAAACGTATAAAATTCTATAGTTAATCCACATAAAAAAAAGTAAAGTTGTAAAAGTTTAGAGAAGTACTTGGAACTATTTAAGAGTAATACCTTAGACAATGGCTGTCCCGACAGTAACCATGGGCATACAAAGCACAGCAGGTGCTGTGCCTGTGCGTAATGAAAAAGGAGAAATTTCAATGGAAAAGGTAAAGGTCCAACGTTATATATCAGGCAAAAGACCAGATTATGCCAAAGAAAATTCCAGCTCCGAAGAAAGCGATTTGGAAGACTTTCTAGATAGCCGCCGCCGCCAATTGGCGGCTACCCAACACGATAAACGTTATCGTAGACATGACAAAGAAGATCCCACTCGAAAAGAACCATCCGATCACGATGAAACTGTGGAAGAAATAGATGATCCACGGTTACGCCGTTTAAGAGCTCGTCCAATTGAAGCTGAAGTATTAGAACAGGAACGCATGGAACGTCATCGCCACATACACGAGCCAGAACTTTTGGAAACAGATAGCGAAGAAGACAATGAAGAAAATAAGAATGAAAATGGGGAGCAGCAAAATATTGAGAGAGTCACCAATAAAATTACCCTCGCCTCGGAATCAGATACGGATTCAGAATTAAGTGAAACTGAACTCGAACAAAAACGTTTGAAGCTTAGACAGCGTATGTTGCAGCAACAAAAGGAAGAGGAAATCTTACAAAAAGAAGAGGAAAAACAATCGGAATCGTCGGACACCGAAAGCTCAGAATATGAAGAGGAAACCGAAAGCGAAGAAGAGAATGAACCTCGCCTGAAACCATTATTTGTGCGTAAAAAAGATCGGGCAACGATTCAAGAAAAAGAACGTGAAACGTTAAGACAGAAGGAAATAGAGATTGAAACCAAGCGGCTTGCTAAAGAGAGGCGCAGACAAACCTTACGTTTAGTAGAAGACAGTATTAAAAAAGATTTGGAAAAATCGAAGCCAGAAACTGCCGAACCAAGTATAGATGACGTCTGTACCGACGATGAAAACGATGAAGTGGAATATGAAGCATGGAAATTGCGGGAACTGAAACGCATGAAACGTGACCGTGAAGAAAGAGAGAATGCGGAACGTGAACAATTGGAAATTGATCGTCTGCGTAATCTTACTGATGAAGAACGACGTCAGGAACTACGTCAAAATCCTCGCGTCATTACGAATAAGGCCACGAAGGGCAAATATAAATTCTTGCAGAAATACTATCACAGGGGAGCTTTCTACTTGGATGAAGAAAACGATATATTGAAACGTGACTTCGCTCAAGCCACTCTCGAAGATCATTTCGACAAAACTATACTACCGAAAGTGATGCAAGTAAAGAATTTCGGTCGCTGTGGCCGTACAAAATATACCCATTTAGTCGATCAAGACACTACAAAATTCGATTCACCATGGTTTGCTGAAACTGCGAACAATATTAAATTTCACAATGAACGTGCTGGGGGCATGAAACAAGTGTTTGACAAGCCTTCACTATCAAAACGCAAAAAATTAGAATAAATTTCTTTTAGCTTTAAATCTACTGAGCTTTAATTCGAATTCTAATCGTGTACAATTTAACGAAGACAATTTCAACTAAGTAGGAACGAGATACCCAAGTACGTATGAAATCTGTATGTATTTGACCTACAAAATTTGTGCTTTTGTAAAACTAGAAATTTAATAAACGGTTAAGATTTAGTTTCATTATTCAGTCGCAATTTTTCTTCTTTTATGGCCGCATACAACATAATACAATGCAAATGCATTTAAAATCGACTTCCAAATGCACTGAAAGTGCTAAGATCTCAATTGAAAAAAAAAGAGAAATTATAAACGGCATAATGCCAATCGCTCGGTTATTTGTAGGTTATTAAGATAAATTTAAGAAACTAAATAAATTTTTTGTAAAAAACATCCGTATCGTACGATAGTTCGATAACAAGAACGGTAAACCTAAGACCCAAGGTTTATTTTGAATCCAAACAACTAAGAATCAGTCAGTCTATCTTCAAACAATGTGTACACATTAGAGCTCGCTTTTCTACACTATAGCGACTCGAAATAAACGTGTAAACAGTAGATGATAGATATTTTGATGGTTTTGTACTTACATACCCTGTGCCAACTACAAACGTTATGATCTACACCAACATCCCCAGAATTTGCAACGGCACCATTTGCGAGGCCTGTTAATTATAAAAGAAGTGGTTAAGCCACCCACCAGGAACCCAACGAACTTAACCTATTGATTGCCTTTTTTTTTTTTTTTCATAATGATGTTCGTTTCCATTTTTCCTTCTTCATTTTATTTTATCTCCTCATAACGATTAACGTTTAATATTTTTTAGCTTTATTAACAGTAGAGTGGGCAGCACTGTTGCTTGTCATCGTTTTTGTCGCTTTGTATCAAATTTCGTATTCTCAAACGAATTTGACGAGAGTATTTCCAATGGCAATGTTGCGCTAAAACATAATTATTAACTTCGAACTTGTTAACTTCCGAAAACCATAAAATTATACATAAAGAGAAAACGAGATAGAATTGCTAATTTACTATTTTAATATAATAATTACTATCACCGTTTTGATGTTTGAACGATCAAATAGAATTGATTGACAAATAGACTTATATAAAGGAAATGACGCTCTTTTTATAGGTTTACTTTTACATATTTTCTATAAATTTTGCATAAGAGTACTGTAATTATTTTTGCTTCCATTTCCTGTACATGTTTCCTTTATATTTTCATTTAATCTCTAAAAATTTTCTCTTTACACCGTTGACCTATGCTTTATTGTTATAATAAAAATACTCATTGGTCTACACAAATGCAATATGTTTTTCGTAGTCTCCAATTTTATGTTTATATATTAGAATACAAAAGAAGGATACTAAGAACATGACCGGTCCGTCTGGCAGACGTATATATTTAGTGGTTGTGCTTTAGAAAAGGCAGTATGTTAAAGAAATATTGTACAAAATAAAGCAACACTGAAAAGTAGAACGTGAGATATTTGCAAGACGAAGTAAGGAGTTGAATGTTGAACTGAATAGATCATCAAATTCGTAGTTTTTAAATCTGTGATTTCTAAGTTTAGGTATTGTAAGCTACAACGTAATTGAAGGTGTGGAATACTCAAAGCTCCTATATCTGCTATGTAATATCGTTTATGTAATTGGAGTAATAATCTGTACTTTAATTTCAATATATAAATCCGACTTATACTTATTCATTCTTCTTGTGTACATTGTTCTTCAGCACAATACACTTGAATTGGCCCTTGAAGGGCTCGTGAACTTTATACCGTGCTATGAATAAATAAACAAATAAATAAAAGATCAGAGAAAGACAAAAAAAAAAAAAGTGAGAAAGATTTCAATAGAAAACTATAAAATAAAATTAAGATTAAAAAATATCCATACATTTTCCAAATTTCCAAACTTCGAATTCGTGCTACCGGCGTATATAAATATTTACAAATACCAGGAATGATATTTTTTGGTACTTTAAACGTCTACAGCAGCTGTCATATTGCTACATTCACATTGTTTTCTTTATGTAGAAATATGTTGTTATGTTTCCTTGCGTCATTTGCCTTGCCTTTGTTTCTATTTAGCGTCTTTTTACATCCCTGACACAGAATTTTCGAAAAACAGCCATTTTTCGAACATTGTTCTCATAATAAATTTCGTCTGAAACAGCATCATTTTATTTGCGACAATCAAAGTTTTTCATAAAGAAATTCGTGAACAATTTTTTATATAATTAATTGCTGTTTATGTTTACGTGTTACTGTGGAAAATAGGAAAACAAATTATAAACACCGATGGAATATTTTGCTTGAACATGGAAATTTTGCCTACCACACATAGTTTTCCTCGTTTTCACTAATTTTTGGTGTCTCCCCGGTATCTTCGTTATCTTTCCGCAGGTAAGACTCAGCGCCGATCATCAACATACAGCCACTATCTATCCGATCATACCTATATATATATAAAGAAATCTCTAATCCTTTTCCACGTCATAAAAAAGGAAAAAGTATTTAAAAGACTTGTAAAAATTAAAATATAAAAGTTAAAACGTGATTGCGATGCAATACAAACACAATAAAGACAGTACAGTGGTGTATATGTATTATAAAAGTGTAAAAAAAAAGAAAAAGAAAATGTTCGAAATTGTCTTAAAAATCGCGTTTACCTCAGTTAAATAATGTAGTTTTTTTTATGTTGTATTTGTGTTCGAAAAAAAAAAACTCTAAAAGAAGATCACTGGCAATATTTGTAGACAAATGAAGGTAAGATTATATGAATTCATATCCAGAAAAATCCATAACACACGCAAAATCTTAGTTTCATAAATTTTAACAAAAGTAATCGAATAAATTTGTCGCAAAATGATTACAAAATGACGGATATGTGATTAATATTCGTCACGGCATTTGCACATTAATGCTTCTGATCGTGAAAAGTGATCGATAGGTTGTAGAAATATTTTGGGGCATAATATTCATAATTTATTAAATTTATTATAGGGAAAGTAATTTCATTCGCTACTATAAGCCTACAAATCTGGTTATTTAGTATGTGGTTTATTCAATAAATTTATAGATAATCAATTATACGTTTTTCTTCAACAGTGTAATTTTCTAAATAGTTAGTACCCCAGTCCGTATGATTTGATATGCCTACGAAGTTTTAGGTGACTAAATTATAGTTTACTTTAATTTATTAAAACGTTATTTATTTTGTATCAAATCTTTAGTAAATTTAAAAATACCACATATTGATTATTTATTAGAAAATTTTTTGTTGGTAAACCAGGTTTGGATCGGTTCACAATTTTCCTTTATTGCATTTCAGTTTTTGGACACTTGGTATAATGGAATTACAAAAGACCAGCACTCATCTTAAAAACTTTACGTGAACTTTATATCGGTGTAAGTTTGGTATGCACCCTTATATCGTTAACGAAGTAAAATGTAATCTAAAGCCGACGTTCTACAAAACCTCATCCCAATTCTTCGCAACATTAAATAAAAACTAAAGGCTTAAAACAAAAAGTTTAATGTTTTTGTAATTTAAAATGTTTGCGATGCTCACTCTTTAGTCGTCGATTATAAATCGATGTCCAAAAGTTGTTTTATGTTTTAGAGATAATAATGAAACAGTAGCAATTAATAGTAATGTAAACATTTTTTTCCATCAGGATTTCTTGATAGTCGACCAAAGTCTGATATATAAACCAAACGTAAGGAGAAGCGTCATGGATTCTGAAGAGTCTCGACCGGGATCGTCTGCTTCAAATTCATCTTCGAACTACTCGCAAAAGTCAGGGCAATCTTCCCCCATTAATGATGGAGGGGATTATGGTCCTAAGAGCCCCATAATAAACTCTACTGCTAGCCCATTGAGCAGCACAGAGGGACGGCATTCCCGACGGTCGGTTTCAGCGGGTTCAGTTCGATCCCGATCCAAATCTGAATCTGATTCATCTTCATCATCATCATCGAGCGACAATGACGACGACGACGAAGCCAAGTCCGCCATTAGCGATGGACTTGCAAAAAGGGGTTCAGCATCTATTAGCAGTGGAAGCGAAAGAGGCAATATGAAGGAGAGACACACACTAACATCACCGGGCGCCAAATCACCGTACAGCTCAAGAGATTCTCACTCATCTTCTAATCGAAGTCGAAGTAACAGCATAGAACAACCGCAAATCACGGAAGGACTACACATGAGCCATGAGGATTTAAGTGACGTTAGCGACTTGGAAAGTGAAAAACGCAACAATAGCAAGCAATCAATAGATGATGACGGTTCCGGTGATATTATGCAAAAAACGAATGATCGTGAGAATGAGCAACAAATATTGAATTCCCCTGTAGAGGATACTGTTCCTGGGAATATTCCCATAGCGGATCTACGACAAAAGCTGGAGCAAAGAAAAAATCAACTGAAAGTGAGTAGATTTTAGAGCAGAGTATTTATATGGTATGGTGAACTTAACATGTATGCAAGTATTATTATTATGACCTTTTCCCTAAGTCCTTTTTCCCTAATTATAATAAAAAGCTTTCCATTTTTTTCTGGTTTATGGTGAACAGGGTTGCAATGGTGATTGCATTCACTCATGTATATGTAAAGATGTGATTTTCACGTGAGCTGTCTCACCTTATGCATGCGAAATGTTCATCCTTACACTGCCGTCGGACATCGAATATTATATATTATTTGAAGTTGTGTTTGTCAATGATAGCGTTGCCACACCGTTCTTTGTATTTTCTTAGCAATATATAATTTTCGAATAGGTTTGATGTACAATTTTGCTAGCCATAAATTTATACAAGAGCACAGGCAGCCCCAATCGAAACGCAGATTTCCAAAGCGTTACACGAAATCACAAATTAATGTTTTTTTTTTTTTTTTTTTAAATACGCCAACAATTTCTTAACACTCCGGTGCTTCAAAGGGCAATATCTCTCTTTAGAATTAATAATGGAATAGGTAAAGTGAAAGCGTTGGGTGGATTGTGTTGCCGTTTTATGTTAACTGCACGTTTTTATGTGTTTTAAGTGAATATATGTGGGAAAGCTTTTTCAAGACTGTTTTATACATATTATATTTGTCAGGATTTGGATGAAAATTGTGAAAATGAAGAGAACGGGACAAACGCTAATGGTGAAGTTGGAGAATCTTTGGAAGATTTAGTTAAAACGCATGACGAAGACGCGCTTGATTTCGAAGCGGAAGAGGGTGAATGCCAAGACGGAAATAAGGAGGAGGCCGAGAAACATGTCCCAAATAAAGATGGCGATGTGGAGAGAACGCAAACGACGAACAATACTCAGAAGAATTCTGAACTTGAAGAAGGAGAAGAGTTGGAAGAAGGTGAAGTTTCGGATGAGGACGAGAAGCGACCCGAAGAAACTGAACCAAAACCCGTATGTCGATTTTATACGCGCGGACAATGTACCTGGGGTATGAGTTGCCGTTTTTTGCACCCAGGTGTAACTGATAAAGGAAATTATACCATGTTCGATTTGGTTAGACCTATTCCATTGCCACCCGGCAATGCCGCAGCAATGGCGCCAAGATCCTCTGGTTATCCTCATCATGGTACAGATTATCATGACTATCGTCCTGAGCGTCCTCCTATACATCACCGCCCCGTAACTGTTCATCATCCGGCGGCTGTTTACGTTCCACATCATGAAACGAGACCGCTAAATGTTGATAGTCCGGTTGTAGTAGAAAGTGCATGGGAACGAGGTTTGCGTACTGCTAAAGAAATGATGCGTAAGGCCAGCAAGCGAAAGGAACAGGACATGGACTTTGAAGATAAAAAAATGAATCTTACTCTTTCCCCAGACGAATTGGAAAAGGATCCTTATTATTTGAAAGAACGAATGTCTCCTGCAGACGTAAGCAGAACTAAGTGGCATCATGCAATCAATTTCGTTAATGTTTTCCTATTTTGTATTGATTTTATAGAATGTGCGGCATGCGATGTATCAAGAAGCACCTAATGCGATGTACAGCCCACCAGACCGCTATGGACGTATTCACCCCGCCGTATCCCATTATGACGAAGTAGACCCATACGGACGTTCAAGTCGTTACAGAGAACTTCCAGCTCACCGAATGCCACAATATGAGGACGAAAGACGGGTGCGACCAACTCGGGAAGTAATCGTTCAACGTGTAGAACTAGCAGGTCGTGGAGATGAGTGGAGTGATCCTTGGATGCGCTCGAAATCACCAGGCGGGAGAGGCGGATCTCGAGATCGGGGAGAAAAAAGACGTCGTGATAAACGCAGCTATAGTAGCAACTCGTCGTATTCTAGCTCAACTAGTACTCAGTCAGACTCAAGCTCTGAATCGAGCCGCTCGATAAGTCCACCAGATCATCATAGGCGACGTTACAATAGTGGATCTCACAAATCTCCAACCCTCACACGCCGTCATGGTACAAGAAGTGGAAGATCACCTATTTCGCCCCCAAGGAGATCTCGGCGTTCATTAAGTAAGTTTTAAACGACTATGATTAGTAATATATCCGTTGTGTATGCATGTATATGTGTAAACTCTTTTATGCAATTGAAAATGCAAGCACCATGTGAAACAGATAAAATGGAATCGTTGGGCAATATTATTATTGATAAAAAGCAAATATTGCAAAAAGGTACAAAAACAGTAATAAGTAAATATATATATGTATTTTTTTTTTTTTTTTTTTTTTTTTGTTATATTTTATTAAATATGCAAAAGGTTACGTAAGTTTTCTGATTACTAATATCATTTATTTTTCGTAAGGTCCTCGTATATCTCCAATTTCAAGGCGAAGAGCGAATGTGACACCATCTCCAATTTATAATAAAACGTACAGTCCCATGCATAAGCGCAAGCGAAATTCTCCAGTGTTAAAGAAATCAATAAATGATAAACTAAAAGGAAAACGTCGCCACACTTCCAGTTCATCTGATACAGGTATGAGTGAATGTATAAAACTCTCTCTTCGAATTTTCGTTAGTAAGCGATTTTTTTATATGACAGTATCATCGGACACGAGTGCATCTGATTCGGATTCCGATTCGGGATCGACATCTTCGGAAAGCACATCGCGATCACGAGATCACACTCCTCCTAAACGCTCAAGAGTTCAGGAAAAGTTTGTTAGTGACCGTAAAAGCGCTAAAAAAAGTTAGTGCAAATTTATAGATCGCTTCGCTCCAAATGTTTAACAATTTTTTTTTTTTTTCATTTCAGTTGATCCCCCGAAGAAAAGATCTCCTATTTCCATTGAAATTAAAAAGCCCGCGACTGTGGGGGTCTCAGCTCTTTCGGCATCCTCACCCACACATTCATCTTTGGCCGAGAAGGAGTCGAAGAAATCGCGACGAGAAGAGCTTTTGAAGCAGTTGCGTGCAGTCGAAGATGCCATTGCAAAGAAACGATCAAAGTTGGTTTAGAGAGAATCCACAGAATAAAATTTGACTTGCTCGAATTGAAAGGAGGGGAAAAGAGGGATTCATCTTTTTGTGAACATTAATTAATAAAACCAATTAAAGTTTCACTAACAAAACTATTTAATAAATAACAATATAAGAATTAGGAATTTATCTTGTTTTTTATAAGAATTTATTTTTGTAGGTGTGACACTAAAGTTTTGCAAAATGTTTGTCAGACGTAAATAACTTCAAATTCATTATTATATAAAGCCATCCCATCCCATAAATAAAAAGATATTCGACGCTATTCGATTCTGATTAATTTTAAATTACATTAAAATTTTTTTTACAAAATGGGTCGCTTACAACGAATGTAAATTTTTTTTTTTTGTTTTTTTTTTTTTTAAATTAGAAATAGATGTTTGAGCTGCAGTTCTCTTCAACGCACATAACTTTCTGGTTATTCGAATTCCTTTTAATAACACGTCTTTTGCAAAATTTTAAGTTTTCATTAATCGTTTACATAATAAATAATGCAATGTATTTAAATACATAACGACCACAGGGAGGATAAGGAAGTACTGAGACATCATCCCACTTAAATCAGACGAACTCGACTCTATTGTTACTAATTTCTTTGATATTTAACACTGCTATCGCGGTTTCCTCTAACTACTACCCTGATTTTCGCTTAATTTAAACTCCATCTGACTTGTGGTTAATATCGAGAAATTCAAATTTTCTTACTTAAAATGTTTTACGCCATTTGTGTACGACGACAATGATCGGGGAAACATGGATAGTTAGATCGGGGAAGAGAGATAGAGAGCAGAGTGAATCGCAATCTAGTGTGTGTGTCCAATTGTCGACCGAGTGTTGATCACAGTAACAGCTCAACGAGTAAATTAAAAACTTTACCGCACTGAGGCTTGCACCCACAAACACTGACTTGTTATTGCGGATCTTATCTACTTTTAGCTACTCATAGCTGGAGGCAACTCAGAAGAGAAAGCGATTTAAATGGAAAAGTTTCACTAGTTTTTGTTTATTGTAACATAATAATGTTGAAGAACACAAGTAAGAAAGTTATATTCGGCGGGCGGCGAATCTCGCATGCCCATCCATTTTTGTACCTATAGAGTAGAGGGCTTTGCAAAGTAAATATGGAAAATTTCAGACTTATAACATTTGTAATTTCTGAGAAACGACCAGAAACCCAAATATTTTTGTTCGAAAAAAATGTGGTTGTGTTCACTTTACGCTCCACGGCGCGCCCCTGCTCTGACCATTTTGGCCTATTTTCAATACCAACTCGCGTGCAAAAAATTTCCAATGTTGATATCTTCATTTTTGCGACCAAAAACTTGCACCGCACAAAAAACCCAGAGGGACAGATATGGCTACAACAACTCAGGATTTCACCCTCATTAAGAATGTATATATATATATATATATATATATATATATATATATTATAGAGTCTCTGAAGTATTCTTTTGGGTTTTACATACATTGCGGACAAAAAGAAAATAAGTACAATGCCATCTTATAGTGGTGAGAATTAAAAAAGAGCAGGCGTCGTAACGGACCTTCATAAAGGAGCAAAAGCAGCAAAAGTTACGACTACGTTGCGACACCATTATTTACGAGGTTTGGCTAATACTTTAATAAAGGCCGATCACTAGGAATACGTTTGCCAAAAAGATTACCGCGCACACTACCACACTCTACATTTATCCTAATCGTATTCCGGCACTATGACCAACTAGCGTTAAACTCGTCATCATCTAATTTGCAATAGGAGATGAAATCTTGCATTAACACATTTATATATGGGCTTATCGGCTGGCATCTTTCCTCAATCCTAATGAACATATTCAGTTCAACTAAATCGATAGTCGTGTTAAAAAAAAAGGGGCTGCAGGAAGTAATCTAGCCGATCTAATTTAGTATTATGGACTTGACAACTGAAGGACTTTCTTTTTCCAGTGAATTTAAGAATTTATTTCATTAGGCTAAATAATCGAAAAGCAACAGTAGTAATGTAATAAATAGTCTTCCAAAGCGGAGCTAACCTATCTTTATCACGTCTATCGCTAATGCACAAATTACAATATTGAATCGAGAAATAATGTAATGTAATTCATGTCGCCTGTCATGCCGCCTATGATTGATTCAATTCGTGAATATTACTTTTCAGTCAAAGCGAATGAGACAAATATGTAGAGCGAGTCAATAGAAAGTTGATAATGGCACTCTTTTGGCCTGAGCAAGGGTAAAGAAATAGCTTTTGAAGTGTTTTCGAGAAATCTTGAGAAACGTGCTTTAGTGAATTACTTCGCTGCAAAAAAAAGTGTGTATAGATGGCATGATGCAAACAGGAATACTTGAGCATGCCCAATGTATCAGTGTATGTCAATATTTCATGTAAAGAGTTGACAAAGTTAATTAGTATAGGATTGGATCTCAAGCCGAAGAAGTAACTAATAGCGGCGGCTTAAAACGAAATGATTTAGAACATGGAACATGGCTTAGCACTATATATGTAAGTGGTTTCTTAATTCGCAAGAAGACTTGAACTTCATACGTGCAAGTAGGCATTTTAACCCCAAAGCCCCAAAGATGCCTTAATTAAGAATCGCACGTCAGTGCCATTGTCGTTTCTCGTAAATAGTATTTGTCCGTTAGAAAATTGAAAAACTCTACTTCTAAGTTATACGAACTCTTACTTATACTTGATTGATCCACTTGAGTGGCGGGGCAGGCAAACAATCTCGAGTAACAACTCAATGGTCGTGGATGCAAATCTCGAGTGCGGTAGCGTTTTCAATGAACCCGTTAAGAAAACATGACAGGCAGACAGACGAACAGACAGACTTTAGGTCAATTCCATAAGTGGTTCTAAGGCAATTCGTCCAATAAATAATCTCAAATCTTTCTGTGCGTTCCATACATCCGCACCCACGTTACATACCCTTGTAGTGTAGCGTATAAAAGACATTATAGTGCTATTTTGTGTTTACCGATTTCGAAGATATGGCATAAATAGTACAGTACTACATGGCAATGATTGACACTGGAATTTCTGTGTGTGTGAAAGTAAACATCTATCATATTGAAGAAATGAGTTTAACAGATGGCTTCTTTGACTTTTGAAGGCGTATCTTAAAAAAACCCTTCACAAGAAGAGTTACTTCTCCTTTTCAGCTTGTAAGAACGAATATAGCCGTTGAATTTCATCGATTGCTGACGGGGTTTACACTCAATTGGAATTGAAAATTTGAAATGACTTTTAAAGGGAAGACGCTTACGCTTGACGTATATAGAAAAGTTATAAAAGTTACCGAAATGTATGTAGGACATGCATGCTTTCTAGGCTGATATTTACATTGAAATGCCACATAAATATTGAACTTGGATAGTTTGGATGCAAAAGATGATGGAAAGATGTAATAGAAAGAAATTAATTTGATTTTACATCAATATATCTAGTGCTTGCCTCCTTGCACATATCACTTTTAATAAAGCGAAAGCGCTAAACAAGCGCTCGAGTTGGAAAGCAAGCTAAGTATGCGTGCGCTTGTGTACGTGCAAACACTTTATAATAGGTGCCGTAATGTATTTAGATCAGCGACATCTATCGGTAGAAATACTATTCCGAATCATTGCAATGCCATGAAAAGATGAGTTTTCCGTGGCGTATTTTTACTGGCTATGAAAAGTGGATCTATTACGACAATCCCAAGCGCAAAAAGTCATGGATTGAGGGATTGGAGTCCGGGAGAACTGGCGCGGAATATTCATGGCCATAAAGTTTTGCTGCGCATACGGTGAAATCAACGAGGTGTAGTACATTACGAACTGCTAAAATGGAATCGAACTGTTACTGCAGATGTTTGTCGACGTCAGTTGAGCAAATTGAACGCAAAGTCATTCTCTTTTCAATGATACACTGTTGTAGCTCAGATGAAAGGTTCTGCCGCATCCAGCATACTTATTAGATTTACCGCCTTCTGATTACCACTTATTCAGATCGATGTAGCATGGCTTGGTTGACATGCGATTTCAAAATCCTGAATAAGTGCGAAAATGGGGCGACACCGCATCGTAATGCTTCTGGAAAGATGGGGAAAAGTTGTAGAAAATGATGGAAAATATTTTGATTGGCATATATTGCAGCAACTTTTCTTAATAAATACCGTTTTCAAGCGAAAAAATGATCAGAATACAAGCAAGAATCTAATATATATTCCTCTAGGAGAAATGCATAGCTTATGATTTGATATCTCAATGGGTTCGAGAAGGCATATATTGCAGAGGGCATTGAGGGTTTTTGGTATATGCTTGGAGAATGAAGTGAAACAAAATTAGAGAATTTGAAACTGCTTCTAGACAAAGGTTGTTGCATCTGCTAACAAGAAGTAAAGATGAACTGTTATATAATTTTGAAAAGAAGAAAATGAATTAGTTTCCATATCACTCCAGTTTGCTTACATTACGTATATCTCTCGTTATCGTCTCTTTAATAATTTTCCAATACGAATTATTTTTTTGAGTCTTTTTATTTCAATTGAATGTGCCAACAAGAAATCTCTTATATGTACATATATATATCAAATGTTTTTTGTGTCTCCCGGCAATTGCTGCGAGTAAAGTTGATCGGTTTTTTGAGGGGTGCGAATACATTCTTATAGATGAATATAATCTTAGATATGTTACGGCTTTTGTCGAGATATTGTAATAAATATAAACTTGAGCTTTAGATTTTGTTACGGAAATATTGATAAGGAAATGTCTTGTCTTTGGCTTATTCGTGCATCAAGTGTTTGCGGTTTTTGTAAGAAGAATTTTTAATGCAGCTTGTAGCTTTCTCTTTTCGAATTTTCAAGCTTTTTCTAGAAAAGTTAAATAAACTTATAAACAAGTTCATGATTAGAAAAAGCTTTCCCCCATTTTTCAAAGCATATGACATATATGACATATATGACCCCTTAAAAGTTCGCTTAAACTTGATATGCGAAGGGGTATTATGTGTCTGTCTAACGACGAAACTCGTAGAATTTTAATTTAACAGAAAGTGTAGGAAAAGGACGATAACGGTACAAGAGCCAAAATTTGACATAGCGTATTAGTGATATATTTATTATGAAAGAGAAATGTA